ATAATTAAGGATATCCGAAGTATATCGGTTAGGTATCCTACTTTCTAGGGAAGCTTTCCGTTATCGTTTACGAGCTTAAAAAGACGTTTATAATTTATAAGATACGTAAAGATCGCCTTAAGATCGTTAATTACGTTACCTCGTTTTAGTTATACGAATTTACGTTTAATATTAGCTTAGCTTAGTTTATCGGTAATCTTAAAGCGGTACTTTAAGGCTATAACGATAACTCTTTAAATCGTTTAATCCTTTATAACATCGTTAATACGCTTTTTAATGGTTTTAATCGTAATTTATTCGCCGATTTCTTTAATCTTATCGTCGTCGCTTATACGGTAGCGATTAAATAATCGATTTACCCTCTTTAATTATTAGGTTATATTATATTCGTTAAACTTAAGCCTAGGGTAATCGGTAGGGTTAGGGAATTTAATAACTAATATTACGATAATCGGGATAGCTACCGGTATATTCTAGCTACTAGAGGCCCCGTTATTATTATTCTAAGATAATGCCATAAGAATTAGCGGGATAAGTATAGAGCCGCGGGTAAGGGGTAGTTAAGTAAGAGTTTTATCGTCGTCTTCTTCCTTTTCGGGCGGATATAGGAGCGGAAAGCTAGTATCGATTCTTAAGGTATTTATTAGTGGTTTAATCTTAATTACTTTAAATCCCGATAGCGATTTATTTCGTTTCCTAGTTATAAACTCCGTTTGGTTTAACGGTACGAGGTATAAAGTAGAAAAGGAGGTAGTAAGGGTCTTATTATTTAACATAAGGATAAAGGTATAATAGCTATTATTTATATCCTAATACTTTTCCTTTAGTATAGGTATATTATTATTTATTATATTATCTCGATCGATAAGGTCCGGGTATTATACGAGCTTCTTTAGTCGGTTAACGCCTAACTAAAGTACGATACGTATTCCTTGGATTAATAGTTTAATTATTATAAATAAGTCGACGATAATTCCTCTTATTAAGGTCTAGAACTTCTAACGTATAACCTTCGTTAAGGTAATACGTATAAGGAATAAATCCCGAGTAAAGGATCGCGCTAGATACGATACCGGTTATAGCTATAGGCCGGTTTCGATCTAACGGAGGTTATTTAATAGTATTAACGGTATTACCGCTAGGCGCCGTTTTACGTTTATATTAATACTTCTCGCTATATTAATTATTAATTAGTAATATAAGGCTAGTCTATATATAGGTATATTTATTAACTCGACTTTAGTTCCGTTTCTTTAATCCTTTATATTTACGTAGTCTTATTAATATTAATTTTTAATTCTCTTTAAAACTATCGGTTATTAATAACTATTAGTCTATTAATTTTATTTATATTATTAATGTAAATATCTATGTTATATCGTATACTATATCGTCGAGTCGCTACGCCTAGGTATTTTAAAATGCCTCTAGTATAATAAGTTATTAGTATTTATATATTTAGTTTATATCGATTAATAGGTTTAGAGGGAAAAAGAAGCTATCGTAAGGTCGGTTAAGGATATAATTATTATTAGCCTTTATTCGCCTTTAGTATTAGTAAGGAAGTAACGGGTCGTATGGGTTATCGTAATTTATATTAAGGCGTTCGTACGTTTAATTTATATAGTAGATAGATAATTATAAGGGGGCTACCTTAATCGCTATAAGCTTTGTTTATTCGTACGAAATATATTATATTATTAACGGTTCGAGGAAACGGTTAATATCGAGGGCTAAGTACTATCCTTAGTAGCGGTAGTATTACGACGAAAGTTCTCCCGGGTTTTACGGGTTCCTCCGTATAATAAATAAAAAATTATACGAAGGATATCTTAATCGGTATAAGCGCGGTTTAATCGTCGTATTATATCGTAGTATCGATAGCTTATTAGCGTTATAAGTATTAAGGGCTAAGCGTTATCCTAGTAGCTATAGTATCGTTATAAAAGTTCCCGGGCTTATACGTACCTTCCTATAGTAGATAAATAACTATAAGGCGGGATACTTTATTTAACGTAAAATACGGACTACCTCGCGGGTTAAATAGCGGTACCGACGGCGATCGATGTTCTTTAAATCCTAGTAGCGTAATAGAAACTCCGTAAACTAAAGGTTAAGGGGTCGAAAAAGTTATAGGGTAGTCGCTATTAAGGAGGAGTAAAGCGTACGCGATATTAAAGACCCGGATATATTTACTTAAAAATATACTTTATCGAAGATTATAGTACGTACGATAATTTAAAACGGATAAAACTAGTATCGCTATATTAATCGAAAGGTAAGGAATCTAATATAGTTATCGTATCTTAGCTATATCCCTTAATCGTAGAAATATAGTAGTCGCTAGCCCGAAGGTATAAGAGGTAAGGGGAGAAAAGGGATAAAACGTAAAGGTTACTTATTCGGCTATAGCGGTACGACGAAGTAACTTAAGCGCCTATAATTAAGATAGATATATTAATCGGAGAATAACGAATCTAATAATAAAAACGAATCTTTAATTAAGGTAAAAATAATAAAGATAGTAATCTAGCTAGGTAATAAATTAAATAATAAACATAGCATCTCCCGCACTTACGGGAGCTATGGTTACTCTATATAGGCATAAGGCCTATCGTAGCGTATTACGTAATGTATTAAGAGGATATGTCTTACCGTACCACTACATTAGTTCTTAATTAATTCGAATTTAATTAATACTTACTCTCTTACGTAGAATTATTAATAGAACAGCAGCAGTAAAGCGGCTGGATTTTACGACAGGCTTCGTAACAGGCTTACGAGGAGTATTAAAAATCGACGAGATATTAATTAATTAATAATTAATTAAGAAATAAATTATACGAAAAACATACTTACTCCGCTTCGTTTCTAACTTACGCGGAAGCCTCGTTAGCTATCATTCGTTCCATTAATCGTTAATAAAATACTAATTAATTAATAATTATTTAAAAAACGAATTAAAAATAATAACTTACCTATAGCTCGCTAATGCTATATATTATTTATTACTCCAGATATATAATTCTTAATTTAATACTTATAAGTACGTTTTAAGTACTATCGTAGGTTAGAGGTCGAAAATTAACGGATTTAATTAGTTAGTAATTAATTAACATCTAATTAAATATTAATACATATTATATTTCTATATATATTACCGTCGATACGGGCGCGATAAAAGAGCTCGCTAGGTACGATAATCGGAAGGCCGGCTTAATCGATTAATAATTAATTACTAATTAATTTCGAAATAATATTTACCTCGTTTAATTCGAATTCTAGCATACCTTTAAGGCGCGTCGTAAACGAAGTATACTATTAAAACGCCTCCTAAAGCTACGTTAGTAATAATTAATTCGTAATTAAATATATACTTATTAAGAATCGAATCTTACCGATAAACGAAAGTTATATAGCTTTACTATATTATTAGAAACGCGAATTAATTAATAAGAATGTTAATTAATTAGGTAGTAATAAGAGGATAGTAGTAGGAGGGTAGTAGTAGGAGGGTAGTAGCGGTAGTAGGTTAGTTATTATAAAAGAAAGGAAGGGAGAAAAAAAAAGGGTAGTAAGGAAAAAGGGTATTAAGTAGGGATTAATTAGAAAGATCTTACCCCTAACCAGTTAATAGGATTAATTATTTTAAAAGGAGCTAATAGAATCTTCAGGAAGCCGCGACCCGCTTTGGGATAAGGTTCAGGGGACCAGTTGGGCTGATCTATAGACTCATATTCAATTACACGTAGGGAAGGAGCTACCCTCTGGTTAGGTCGGCTAATAGGTAAGCTAGACACCCCTTCGCGAGCTAGGTATTTTATATAGGTTTACATATAAACGATTTATCGCCGTAAAAAACCGGGAAAGAATCGGAAAAATCGGAAATTTACTTACGTAATTAATTAGTTTAATTAAATTAACATATAAAATTTTCAGATTTTTCGCTTACTAATATAAGAAATTATTTACGATTTAAGGTTTTTTAAAACTATATTAATAATTTGCCGTATAATGTATTAATAAATCTATTAACTATGCTTTATATCGGCTTTTTAACTTATTTCTTTTACGGTAATAAAATAAGTTTATTACTTAATCCTTTATATTATAAATATAATAATAATTAAGATTACGTAAACTTTTTTCTTCTTATTTGTCTAATTTTTATTAAATTAATTAAGTCTTGAAAACGTAAATTTTTAATATTCTTTTTTAAAACCTCTTTATATAGAAAAATAGCATAGTCGGAAAGGTAAAATTCTTACTATAAAATAGGTATAATTTTAAAAAGTCTTAACCTATTTAAAAACGTAATTTTTTTAAAATAATAAATTAAATAAAAACGGAAATAAAAAATAAAAATAAAAATACTTAATATTAGTTCTTTTTTTATTGAGAAAATAAAGTATTAAGTAATAAACTTACTTTATTATCGTAAAAAATTAGGTAAATATATTAATATAAGTATAGTTAATAAGGTTATTAATAAACTATATAAGAAACTATTAATATAATTTTAAAAAACTCTAAATTATACATAACTTCTTATATTATTAAGCGAAAAATCCGAAAAGTCTATATGTTAATTTAATTAAGCTAATTAATTACGTAAGTAAATTTCCGATTTTTCCGATTTTTTCCCGGTTTTTTATAGGGATAAATCGTTTATCTCGCGAAGGGGTAGCTCGTAAAGCGGTAGCCTATAACTCTATTCGTACATATATAAGCTACTACGATTATGATATCAGGCTTTCGGGGACTTGCATTAAACATACATACCTCCTCCTATTGGGGGCGTATGTATAGACGATAAAACTAAGGCGTTCGACCGAAAAGTGGAGTTTTTTCCCAGTTGTAGCTATGCGACTCCGTATTATACTTATTGTAGGTGCCTGCCAATATTGATAGCTGTAAATAGGTACCTAACCTGTGAATCTATACCTGCCTTTCAGACACGGTCCAATCCCTAAGGATGCCAGTTTCTCGGCGGGCAGCTCTCAACTCGATGTGGCAGCCGCCTGCACCTTCACCTCTACGAATTCCGCCAAAAGCGACAGCGACTTTTGCGCGCTCATGATATCTAGGAACGGGACGTCGATGCGGAACACGGTCCAGAACCAGGCGCGGAACTCGGACGCGATCATGCTGTCGACGCCGAACTCGGGCAGCGCCTTGCGCTCGTCGATCTGGTCGAACGGCATCAGGATCAGGTTGGAGAAGCGCTTCTTGACGAGGCGCAGGACGGCCGCCTGCATCGACTCGGCGTCGGCCTCGGGCATGAGCGCAGCCGCCACTGCTGGCGGCACGTCCTGGAACCACGGCGCGGCCGCCACCGCTGCGCTGGCGCCCTGCGGCTGCGCCTCGCCCGCCTCCTTCTCGGCCTGCAGCGACGCCAGCAGCACCGCCGCCCGCGCCTCCACCAACACCCCGTGGCTCGTGACGTCGAAGCCGCGCGCGCTCAGCTCGCGGATCGCCGCCGGCTCCAGCCCCGTCAACAGGTGCGCCTCCCGCGGGTCGCGCGCCGGCTCGCTGGCGAGCGCGAGGTCGACCACCTGGAGGAACTCGTCCTCGTTGAGCGGCTGGATGCCCTTGCGGAGCAGCAGCGCCTCGATCTCCGGGTTCTCGTGCAGGTAGCCCACCTCCGAGATCATGCCCAGGCCCACCGAGACGCAGGGCTTGCCCATCGAGCGGCGCCACGTCGCGAACGCGTCGAGGAAGCCGTTCGCCGCGCAGTAGTTGCTCTCGGTCGCCGTGCCGACGGTTCCCGACACCGACGATGTCAGTAGGAAGAAGTCGAGCGCGTCATCCTGCCCTTGCACTTCCAACGCGTTGTGGATGTTCCAGGTGCCCTGCCACTTGGGGTCGATGCCCGTATGCCAGGCCTCGTTCGGCATACGAGTGAACAGCGCCTCGTGGAGACCCATGGCGGCTTGGATGACGCCGCCGATGGGTCGTCCGGTGGCGGCACAGGCTGCGACTGAGGCGCTTACGTCGGCGGCCTTAGAGACGTCGCCGCGAACCACGCCAACTGTAGCCCCGGCCCTTTCGAGCCGCGTTACGAGTTCTTTGGCGTTGGGCTTGTCCGCTCCCGAACGGCCGAGGAAGACAAAGTGACGGGCCCCTCGCGCCATCATCCATCGGCTTAGGCTGCGGCCCAGACCGCCGAGACAGCCGATGAGAAGATAGACCTTTTGGGGATTAAAGACGCTGTTAAATGTAGCCGGCGCGACCTGTGTGGGACCAGAAACGTCAGCATCTTCCTCTGATCGCTGGCCGGCATCTGTGCCTTGCGGGCATCACTTACCGGGACGCGGGCCCGCGGGTCCTCCATGGAAATGACGACCTTGCCCACGCGATCCTTGTTAGCGAAGTAGCGGTACGCCTGCGAGACCTGGCTGATGTCGAACACCTTCATCGGCAGGGGCCGGATCTTCCGGCTGCGGTAGAGCTCGAGCGTCTCAACCATGAGCTTGTCCCAGATGGCGCGATTGTAGGGGTCCTCGGCATAGTAGAGCTCGGACAGGTCGAACGCAGTGAAGGTCACGTTGCGCAGGAACACGCGCATGTCCAGCTTGCCGGCGTCGAGGAGCTCGCGCTTGCCGACCTCGACGAAGCGCCCGAACTCGGCCACGCAGTTCCAGCTGTCGTGCATCAGGTCACCGACGAGCGAGTTCAGCACGACGTCGACGCCGCGGCCGCCCGTCGCCTCCATGACCTCCCGGACGAAGGAAGCGTCGCGCGAGCTGAAGATGTGGGACGCCGGGACGTTCAGTTGCTTGATTAGGTAATCCCGCTTGGACTGGGAGCCCACTGTGGTGTACACCGTGGCGCCGATCTCCTGGGCTAGGGTGATGGCTGCGATACCTAGACCGCCGGAGCCGGCGTGGATTAGGATGGACTCTCCCGCTCGCAGATGGGCCCGGTGATTAATGGCGTAAAGCGCGGTGGCGTAGACGAGCAGCAGCGTCGGCACTACCGTGAACTCTTCGCTGTCCAACATCTTGTGCACTGATCCGGAGGGCACCCGTACCGTCGTTCCGAGGTGGTGGGGGGCATAGGCCACGGCGCGGTCGCCGACCTTTAGGTGCTCGATACCGCTGCCAACCGCGGTCACGATACCTGAGAAGTCGAACGCCGTGGTCTTGTCGCGCGTATCTACGCGGCCGTTCATGGCATATACATCCTTGGCGTTGAGACTGACCGCCTTGACATCGATATCGACGAACCCGTCTGGCGGCGCGCTGTACTGCTCTGGATCCGACAGCTGCTGCAAGTGAATCGTGTCCGTGACACCAGCACGGTCGATTGATAGCCGGGCCGGCTTAGCCTCGGCGAGTGTTCGCGTCTTCCTCTCCGTTTTCGGGTCTAGTCGCCGCCGGAAGAGGGAGTTGACTTCGAAATCAGGTCCGTATCTGCTCACGTGCAGGAGGCCTTCCTTATTTACGAATTCGCAGTCGTCCTTATCGTATTTGGCAACTAGGACCTTCAGAACGTTTTCACAGGCCTTGGCCACGTTCAACTCTTTAATCGGCCCAACGTCCAGGACCGAGTATCGTAACGTCGGCTGTTCTAGCATAAGCGCGCGCGAGAGGCCGCTCGATAGAGTCAGGTTCGGGTCCGGGATACTGCCTAGCATGTTGGCGCCCGTAAACCAGACTAGGTCTGTCACGACATCCGTTATGGCGCGCAGACGGTTCATGTCTTGCGGGCTCATAGTAGCGAGGAACTCGCGCTCCGCCTCCAGAAGGGAGATGCAGATGTCCTGTTCGGCGATCTCTGTTTTGTCGATCTGCTCTAGTCCTACGATGTTAACTTGTGACACGCCGGCGCTCTTCTGTAGGTACGTCGCTAATGCTGTTGCGAGCTGGGTGGTCGCAGGGGACGCGTTCTCGGTCCGCTGTTCGGATAATTAATGACCACACAGGCCGAATCATAGAGGGAGAAGAGACCTACTACAATGAGGGCATTTCGACCCCGTAAGACACTCGTCTGCAGCGGCCGTACGGCCAATATCACTCTCTTGCCAACATCTAGAACCTCGAATCCCATCGTCTTGAGTATATCAATGCAGACATCCGACTTCCGAGTAATGACGATGCCATTTTCAGAGACAAGAGACACGAACCGCTTCTCATCTTCCACCGAGACTCGTTTGGAAGCGGCATGCTGTGTAGCGAAGCACCGGTTAGCAGGTATATATAAACTGCTCGGCAGGTGTAAACTCACTCTGGGGATCAGTAGGACATCAAATGGACCTTCGGCGTCATCTTGTACGGTGATATTTCCATCCTCATTCATCTTGGCCGGATGCCATGACCGGCAACGCGAGAAAGCCGTCTCCTTGTCCAGGATGCTCAGCCATTGCTTCGCCTTGTAGCCAAACGTATCTCCGTCGAGTTCCAGGACGCGCATGCGCGGGTTCTTGTGCCCGGCAAGATCCAAGAGAGCCCCGATAACAGCCAGGCTCTCGTCGTCCCTTAGATCTGGGTGCTGTTGTTCTACAAAGGCGTCTACGTACTCCCGCAGCTGAATCTCGGCTTCTGGGCCTAACCGCATGATGTCTGGCTTCCAGTGGATCCTCAGAGTCGGCTGGCGTTGCATGAATAGGTCTCGGAGATTGTCGCCGCTGCCATCGGATTGAGCCGAGGGCGCGGAAGCCTTGCCGGTGTATAGCGAGATGCGTCCGCCCTTAAAGTCGACCACAGGTGTCCCGCGTGAATCTCTTAGTGTGCCCTCTATCTTCCTGCTCGAGAGACCGGTTTCCTCCGAGCGCGCATGGACTTTCACCTCAACATCAGGCTCGTCATCCCGGGGTGGCTGGATTCTGCATTCAGCAATAAACACGGGGAGCCAACATTTCAGAGCTGGCACGTGTCCCGCCGTCGTGCTAAGAATTGCAGCTTGTAGAGCTGCGTCGATGGTGACGGGGTGCACGACATAGTCAGAACCTCCTGTCTTAGCAACCGGAGGCACAATATGGGTAGCTCCGACAACCTCGCGCCGGTTTCGTCCTCCGTCAGTTCGAAGGCCGGTCAGGGATCGGAAATGCGGGCCGAAGCACAATCCTTCCTCATACCACTTCTTATACCACCGGTCGGTGGACCAAGCATCGAAGCCGTCCGTGTCTAATACCTTGATTCCCTCATGCTTTGTCTCAATTCCTCTCCGAGGGTCCGTGAGGCGGATACTCCCGGTACAGTGGACAGTGGTTTGACTGTTGGCCCACGATGAGATAGAGAAGTCGTGCCAGTGAACAGAAGCGTGCGCGTTGGATATCTTACGAAGGGACATGGTAGTGTGGAGTTCTACGTCCTTTGCCACAGAGTAGATATCTCGGTCTTCCTTGATGTTAAGCGCCGCGCTGATATTTACGTTTCGGAACTCGAAGGCAAGTTGAGATGCGGGCTTGCCCTTGGATCCCGTAACCTGCGACACAGCCTCGATGGCCAATGCCATGTATCCGGCAGCAGGGAAGACGATTTGGTCCTCCACCTTGTGGTCCGGCATCCACGGTATCTCTCCAAGGCGGACAATGTTGCGCCAGGTGTGATCGATGCCGTTGCCGGTGAGTGCTAGCGTTCCGAGAAGCTCGTGACGCAAGTGCTTGCGGTTTCTCATCTCAATACTAGCTCGGGGTTCACTCCAGAGCAAGTCCCCAGAGTGGTCCCATGGGTAGGGTGGAAGGTTATGGAGTATCCTTAAACCAAGTTCAGGCAGGCCATCCGCTTTCTCCCAATTAAGGGCGTGACCGTAAGTGAAAAGTATTCCAGCAAGGCTCTTCATACAAAAGTCTGCGTCTTCGTTCCTGACGAGTGTTGATGAATAGGGAAGGGCTTTCTCGTCCAGCTTGAGGCCGGTCCGGATCTGGTTGATGGGCCCCTTGAGTGCGGAGTGAGGGCCAATCTCAATGAGGTGGATCTTGTTGTTTCCAGCTGCTACTAGATTCGCCAAAGCGGAGCTGAACTGGACTGGCTGCTCGAGGTTTTGCCTCCAGTAAGCCGCCAAGCTGACGTCGCCGTCAAGTAGGCTAAGCTTCTTGGGGTCGTGACCGACGGACGAGAACATCTTCGCTTCAGTAGTTCCGTTCTTACTGCCCTCGCCGGCGAATAACGGTGTGAGAAGCTCTTCATATAATGGACCGATCTCCTCCATCATATGGGAGTGGTAAGCCCGCCCGCCGGTTTCCAACTTCCGTACGAACTTTTTCTGGTTCTCAAGCTCCTGCTTCAGCGCTTCGATGCCCTCCTGAGAACCGCTCAGAGTTACGCTTTCTGGGGAGTTGGCACAGGCGACACGCACTTCTCCTTGGAGTCCTTTGCTATCAATAAGGGCCTGGGCTGACTCGGGACCTATACCCGCTGCCATCATAGCACCCCGAGTGCGTAAGCCGCCCACTGCATAACCGCGGTAGTATGCGACTAGAATAGCTTTCGACCAGCTTATGAGGCCGGCGGCGTAGGCAGCCGCAATCTCTCCAGAAGAGTGGCCAACTACGGATGTAGGTTGGATACCCCAGGATCTTAGCAAGTCGACAAGCCCGATTTGGACTGCAGTACATATTGGCTGACTGCGCGTTACTTCATTGATGCGGCTATTTGGGCCGTCAAGCAGAGTCTGCTCGAGGGTCCAGGACGGAGTGTAAGGGGCAGGGAGGGCGTGGAGGACTTCATCGAGGCGACGGATAGTGTCGCGGAAGTGCTGACTGCGAACTAGCAGCTCTTTGGCCATGCCAGGGAATTGCGCTCCCTGGCCTGTAAACACAAAGGCGAAGGGTAGCTGGTTTGCAGGTTTGGCGGGTGCAGCCTCGGTCACCGTTATGGCCCCGGCTTCATGCTTCGCTACAAGGAAACTTCTGTGTCGCAAGTGGTCTCGACCTTTACTGAGTGTGTAAGCCAGACTTTGGAGGGCGGCTCCGTCAGCGCACAGAGTCGCACTGTTGGATATTTGCCTGATGAGCGTTTCCAGCGACTTCGATGATGCCGCCGACACAGGCAATACAACAAGCTTCTGCTCATCTAGTAGGCTTAAACCACTGATTGGAGAGAAATACTTTGTTTGGTAGTCCTGACCGAGGTAGCTTTCGGCTGATTCTAGAATAACGTGGGCGTTGGCGCCGCCATACCCGAACGAGTTGATACTGGCACGACGTAGCGCCCGAGGCCACTTCTCTACTTCAGTGGCGACTTTCAGATTCCGTTCCCCTAGAATCACTAATACAGATCTAAAGTCAGTCTTGATCGCCAAAAGCCCGAGGAGGCTTGAACTGGATAAATGAACCAGCCCGAGGTGACAGCCTTACACTTGGGGTTCAGTTTGACTATGCCTCGCGATGGGGGGATTTGGCCGTTCTCAAAGGACTTGACGACCTTGAGGATAGAAGTGAGGCCACTGGCTCCCTCGCTGTGACCGACATTGGTTTTCACCTATATTCCGTTAGTTTGCCGCGCTCCTCGAGATGCTTCGACATATCATGTGGCATTTCTCACCGATCCGATAAGTAATGGAGGCCCTTCGCGCGGCGAAAAGCACTTTCCGACGGCGTCCACCTCTATAGGGTCGCCCACCGGAGTGCCGGTGCCGTGACACTCGACATAATCCGTCCCCGCAAAGTCCAGGCCGGCATTCTGGTAAGCTTTGCGCATGACTACCTCTTGAAGCTTCCCGCTTGGCAGCGAGATCCCAGGGGTCCTCCCGCTCCTGTCGTTGGCTCATGTCAGGTTCAAGTCTCCTACACTTGGGTTTATGTCTTTCCCCTTCCTAGGAGTAATCACTTACGCGTTCACTGCACTACCGCGGATGATGGCTCGAATGGGGTTTCCATCTCTAAGTGCGGCCGATAAACGTTTTATATAAATAGCGTTGACTCCTTCGGCTCGACCATAACCGTCTGCTGCTACATCAAAAGTTCGGCATGTACCATTAGGTGAGAGAACGCCGCTCTTCGCTGCTGCGATATGTAGTTCAGGCGACATTATCATATTAGCGCTTGCGACGATGACACTATCACAATCGCCCGTCTTGAGAGCGTTGGTAGCCTGGTGGAGGGCGTAGATAGATGAAGAGCACGCAGTATCTATCGTATTGCTATACGAGAAAAGGTATCAGCAAAACCGGGTATTGGTATCTAAAAGAAGATACGCCGCGCGTAGAAGATGTGAGAGGCTGACCTTGGCCCGTGAAGGTTAAAGATATGGCTAATGCGATTGGACATGACAGTGGCGCCTGAACCAGTTGCAACATATCTGTGTAGGTAATCCGGGTCGCGTGTTTGAATGGGTTGGTAATCGACTGAAAAGTTGGCAACGAAGACGCCGGTGGTGGACCCGGAGACACTGTCCATAGTCACGCCAGCACTCGTGAGGCATTCGTATACAACCTCGAGCAATTTACGTTGTTGCGGATCCATATATGTAGCTTCTAGGTTATTAATGCCAAAAAAGGAATTGTCGAATTGTCGTAGGTCCTCGTTGATGAAATAACCTCCTGGCACGTTCGTGCTGCCACTACGGTTTGGGCTGGGGTGGTAGAAACCGCCGATGTTGTATCGTTCAGGTGGTACTGGCCCCTGAGCTGACTTTTGCTCAACTAGAAAGTCCCACAGATCTGAGGGGGAGCCGATGTCCCCCGGAAGACGACATGCTGCATTCTTGATTAGCTGGTCGTCTTATTTGCCGGCAAGATTCGAGGGGAGTGGGAAGCAATACCTATGCCCACAATGCAAGGAGGGTCGTCGCTGAAAGACGTGATACCACCAGTCCCCTCCTCTTCATGGTTGGTGAGCATTATGCTAGAGTTATCTCCAGAAGAAGAGCCCGAAGACCCAACGATAACGAGGTCAGAGCTGGACATGGCGAGTGAAGTTTGGTATGGGCTCCAGACACGGGATCGCAAAATATTGTTCCGCGTTCGCCTCTACATATATAACTAACGGGTTGGCTCGGTGTAGTAGAGCTACCAACGTCGGAGATCGAGGCCCTTATATATCATTATGCGATAACCAGTTCTCGGTCCAACGGGACATTATATATGCAGTCATACGAGTATTAGCTTGCAGGGCATGCATCTTCTGGGCGATAGAAAAGTAATAGCTTCTATATCCCGGTCTAGCTGCGGCGCGGCGGGCATATTGAAAATAGGAGACACCATTGAAGGATTACTGCGGCCACAGCTCGGAACGCCTTAGTTAGGAACACAGATCTTCATTACGATGTAGGCATGATATCGGCGTAACATAATCAGATTAAAACCTTGCGGTAGATCCCTTGGGATCTTTGAAAGCCCTGCATGATTTTGCTGCAGTTATAATATCAGCGTCGTCGTATAATGGTCTAAGCCACTGCCTCCGCTAGTTCGAATCCACAGTGACAACACGCAAAGATGAACAAGGCCGGCGTCATGTAAGGATCTCGACGCCGGTTCTCAGGAACTAATATCTAGGTAGACTTTAGAAACGATCTACGTGGCGCCGTTAAGATTATTACCTGCGTCTTTTATTCAACAGCAGCATCGGCACATTTCTGTCTTCATGTCTAACCCTCGGCGTTGCTATTCCTTTGGGATTATAATACAGTCAGGATGGGTAGTAGTTGACTAGGGATAGGGGTGCGACTATCCGATTATATTTGAAGATACCCCTGCCGTCAGTATATCTTGTATACTCTCTGGTTGATTATCATTGAATCACATTGCGTTGTAACTATATTAGGTACTATCCCGAAGGCTAAGGGCAAGGGGATACGCACAAGTAGAACCAATCTCGTAGGCTTTACCTATTTTTAATAAAGCCAATCGGCATAGAAATAACACGAGGACTTACGTATTATAATTATCCCTCGGATCGGATTGATACTCGCATGATTGAGACTTTGTCTAGTTAATCATTCCTCTCGCACAGTATGCCGGAGCATAAATTAAGCCACTTGTCAGCCTCGATAGCACGCAAGTCTTCTTTCCCTCACGACCCTGCCGCTAACATTAAAGCCTCATGAAAATGGAAATCTTCGGAAATGCCTTGGTTGTTGGTGGAGGTAAGTGCAATTCGGGGATCCTCCGAAGTACCCAACGCGGATACTTGATGATATTGACTGAAGGAATTCCCTTACAGCCAGCGGTATCGGAAGGGCTACCGCCATACTTCTTGCCAAAGACGGCGCCGCTGGAGTAATGGTCGCAGATTTAGCAATCAGCGCGGCAAGGGATGTTGTGGCCGAGTGTCGTGCCGTCGCTACAAACGCTCGTTTCCACGCCGAGGCAGTCGAGGTCGATGTGACCCAAGAGGATTCGGTTCGCCATGCTCTTGGTCAGATGGTTCGGATCTTCGGCCGGATCGACTACTGTGTGAATTGCGCCGGGGTGAGTCTCTCATACGCCACATAGGGCGACGGATTCTGCACCCAGAAACACCTCGGTGGGTGCTTGCTGACCTGCATGCGGTTCAGATCGGAGTTGAGCAGGCAGTTGACATCGCAGACACGTCGTCGGACGCGTTCCGGCGCTTCCTTGACGTCAATGCTACAGGGACCTTCCTAGTGACGCGGGAGGCTTCCATAGTGATGCGTTCTCAGAAACTCCTGCCCGCTTCGCCAACCTCTCCCGGCCGAGGACCAACAAGAGGCTCCATCGTTAACCTTGGTTCGGGATCCTCATTGATTGCCTCACCCGGGATTCTTCCTTATACTACGTCTAAGCATGCAGTGCTTGGTTTGACCAAGAACAGCGGTGAGTCTATCATTCCGAGCCACCGGCTAGTATCGTGAAGATATCGTGCTGACGCGAGTCACCTAAGCTCTTGATAACGCAGCTTACGGAATAAGGGTCAACTGTGTCTGCCCGTCCTGGACAGACACCCCCATGGTGCAGGCTGCCATAAACGGCACGGAGGATCTCGCCAAGTTAATAGCCGCTGCGGTGCCGATTGGTCGGATGGCCTTGCCGGAAGAAGTGGCGGACACCGTTGTGTTCTTGTGTAGTCCTAGATCAAGCTACATGACCGGCAGCAGCCTGGTTGTCGATGGCGGAACGACGCTTACGGCGTTGAGATAGTGCTTACATGTAGGTCTCAGCGGTAGTGATAGGTCAGACCGGGTCAGCCTCTGGGGACGCCCGCGTTACGCATTGAGGCAACACATCGAGGATCTACGATAGCCATGAATACAAGATTGTGTAGGGTCACATTTCGTGTATAGAGGCGGCACACTGCTGCAATACAACCGCCACCATGAAGAGCCAAGTAACAAATGAAAGCCGACATTATGGACCAGCATATCGCCCCAGCGACTTGTGTATTATACGAGGGTGGGATTTATATCTAGTTTGTCTCAAGACGCACAGACCGTCAGATTTTACTTTGTTCCTACAGGTTTATACGATGTAGATTGAAATTACCCGAATATCTAGGCTCTCGACCAGGAGAAGGGGAGTTATTCCCTCATCGATAGAATGCCGAGCAGGCATATAATAGGGATGAGAGATCCTGCGTGTAGAAACATTGAACAATAGCATATTATGAGGGTTGATATATGGATATTCGAACTTGGAAATTTGTAGCTGCATCTAAGGATACGAGTAAATGCTGCTGGAGTAGGGTATGTTACTCTGAATAATCCTGGTGTAGACAATGACTGTACATTCAACCAATTATACGTACTCAATCCCGTTTATTTTTAATTTCGGATTCGTACGCTTGCTTCAGCTTCCCCAGATCAAACATCCCCCACAGCATGGAGTCCTGTAGAGCCGTTGGTTATACGTCCGGAATCGAATAAAGCGGGAGAGCAGAGGGCGTACGTACCCAGACAGTTCGCCAGCCAAAGGTATCGAGGAAACGAATCATGCGAGTGAAGCTTCCATACCAAAACCACGCGCTAGGAGACGCTTTGAGGCTCTCAGCAACAACGTTTGTGGCGTACTGGAAGCGATCCGTAGCACCAGCTGCAAAGTGTATTAGCAAATTTCGGACGGTGGGAATGATGTTGTGGAGTAACCTACCTGGAGTTCGTGTGACGTGCAGTCGGAAATTCTCAGCCAGAGGAGAATAATAAGATCCTAGTCGTTCGACGTTAGCGAGAAACTGAGGGAGTCACCGTTCTAGGGGCAGACCTTCTGGGAGCGCCCTATGCGCGTCGTTCTTCAAGATGTTCGTGCTCACTTCCCCTGAGATGACCTTTCGGAAATATTCGTTAGCTTGTTACGATTTATTTACCGAACAAAAAGATCCTCCAGACTCACCGTGATGACCTTGACACTGATGTTGACACCGTTAGCCATGTAATACTAACGCAGATCCTGTTAGTGGAGGGACTTACTTGAAGGGCGACATCTCTACACGGAGGGTGTTCGACCAGTGATGGAGCGCGGCTTTAGTAGCATTGTACGATGCTAATAGACTACTTAGTGAAGAAACCATTGCCGCGTGCGAGGGCGGAGAGATATTGAGATCAGCTCTTACCTCCGTATAGATATGGTATGACTCCGCCAATAGACCCGATGTTCACGATGGCGCCGGCGGCTTTGATAATCATGCCATGGAAGTGATGCACCATGCGCATGGGCCCAAACACGTTGATATCGAACATCCGTTGCACGGCGACAACGTCGGTATCGATGGCTGTCATGGTGTATGCTATGCCACTAATACCTCGGAGTTATTACCCTCTGCGAGCACGAGGGTAGAATATGGCACGTACGCACAGTTCACGAGAACATCCAAGTATCCTCCCGTCAACTCTTGCACGCTAGCCTTCAATTGTGTGACCGAGGCCTCGACGGTAACGTCGAGAGGGAAGAAGGTAATGCCAGCCTTGGTCAGATGGTCGCTCGCCTCTGTGGGCAGTACCGTAGCTATGGCATGGACGCCGCGGCGTGTGTACTCGGTGACCAGTGCCTCGCCAATCCCGCCTTGGCCGCATCTATTCTGCCGTTAGCAAACGCGCGGGGAGGGGTGGAGGTGTACCAGTCACACACCCAGTGACGAGAGCATATTTGTGACTGCGAGCCATATCGACATACGCAACCCAGAAGCAAAATCGAATGTCGAGTATTAAAGTCGGTAATTTCGAGATGTCCAGGTCCTCAGAAAGGAGAGCATGAAGTAGTAGTAAATGGCAGAAGCCGCGTCATACGGCGAGTTAATGGCGCATAAGCACGTTTCCGTCTTCGATACATGGATATCCTCGGGATATTGGTTAAGCCATGATTACTCTGCTAGGAAGTTATTTCACTGAGCAGGTTCAAGTCTTGTCTACATGTCTGTGTTAATAGCATAACCAGAGCAGGGGAAAAGTCGGGAACGGGGAGGGAAAAAGAGGGAGTTGGGGGGGGGGTTCGGGAGCATAGCTTTCTGTTGGCGATACGCTCGATTTCGATCACACCCTATATGCTGCGGCTTACGAGCATTCCAATGATGGAGTGGTGTGTGATAAGCACACAAGAGCATTATGAACGCTGCAAGCCCCCGCGTTTCATGTTTACGAAAGGTCTTCACATCACCGCAGGTTGCCAACTGTCTATTTCTGTTCACCCCGAGTAGCATAATTCAATACCCGACACCGGTGTGGGGTTCTTGATATGTAGTAAAGCAGAGCCTCACCCCAGTCTTCGGGCGGAAAGGCGTAAGCTTGGGGCGCGGGATACCCCGATTCGGGTGAACGAAGGCGTGTGATAGAGAGTCCCGGCGTCGGAGGTAGTACGCACTCTGTAGTCGTACACGTGTGGGGTTGGTTGTCGCGATATTACGCGGTTCGACTAGACTTGAACCGCGCTGCCCCCGTCCCGATGCTTAGGTGGGCTTATTGTGTGGGGTTATCGTCTCGTCGGGACGGGACTGGGCTGTGACGGGGTGGCTCTGTGCATCCTGGTAGCCCTTGCGGTGATCATACAGGGTAATCGTACATCTGTGCTGACGGGGTATGTTGGCCAATCTTTCCATCTTACGGACAGTCTCAATGCAGCGTTGTGAGCAAATCAAAGACGGGGGGGACAGGGTGGACATGAATTGTCGGGTCGAATATGTTCTGTGATGAACGCAGATACGCATATAAGACAACACGGTGGATTTGCGGCAAGTGTGCTTACAGAATGCATGGAACAAACGGTTGGAACGACGGAATAACTCTGGCCCTCTTACGTCTCCCCGTCTCCGAGGCTCTAAGCGAACGTAAGACAAGCAGGCACTCGTCAGTCTGTCAGTCCAACATAGAGCCGACGTAGAAGCCACCTATCTCATTAACTACACTCTCGGTGCAGTAACGACTTAATGGATTGCTCTCGTTTGTTCACCAAGATCTTGAGCCAGTTAAGCCTGTACTATCCGCAACGCCGGCGCATACGATGTTCAGATCGTCAGGAATGCAGGTCGGGCGGTACGATAATACGTAGAATATGGACCCTTATCGTTAGAGTCGATCGTGGACAACAAAGCGGACGTCATCCCCGTCGCTCAAATAAGGTTCGGCTGCATTCGCAGAAGGAATCAGCCGACGCATAATACGCCATCTAATACGCCTCTCTGAGGAATAACGTATTAATTGGCTAAAAGTTCGTTGTCGTGATCGTTGATGAGGGTGTAAATGGCGGGATGGCTGCCAGTGCTAGTTGGAAAAAGTTATGACACAAGACCTAGGGCTTAATGGATGATGCTAGGACAACAATTACCTACGGCTTGCTACGATTCTGGGATTCGCCGGCTATGACATTCTGCACCGTAGCTTTCAATTAAATTATATGGACATTTCCCCAGCGAACTGCGAGACTATCGAGACGCACTCATATCCTGTATAACCTTAGATGCCCCGGCGAAGTTGAGCTCTTCCATGGTCTCCTCCCACAACTTCTCGCCGAACTCCTTGCCTTCTGCCGTGTACCAAAATTGCGGGTACCTGTTGACGGTCAGCACCTTGGCACTCAAGAGGCTCTGAAATTGTGACGCACGAAGAGGGTACTCACGGTTTGATAGCCCAGTCACTGACGAAACACCCGTGGCTCTCTTTGCCACGAACGAGAGCAGCGTCAAGATATGTAGTGGCTGCCGTGGCTGCCGGCCTGGCGATGAGAAACTGGCCAATCGCTATGATTTTGGTAACCAGCGTCGAGAACTCGCGGAAGAAGGCGGTGCCCCTAGTCGTGCCGGGGTTTGGCATGTTTACGAGGACATCATCGGGGTTGACGAACTCGGCCAGTTTGGTGAGGAAGAAGGTGAGCAGCACCTTAGACCTTCCGTACCAGAGAAACTGGCCGAAGCCTTCGGGGGTGTTGAAGTGCTGGAGCAGAGAACCTCTGGTCTCGACATCCACCCGATAGGCCAAGTCCGACCCGACCACGCAGATCACCGGCGGCCGCGGAGCCCCGGGGATCTTCTTGGCTTTGAGAACGGGCAGGAGGAGGGTGGTCAGAAGTGCGGTCGACAGGTAGTTCACTTGCATCGTAAGCTCGTGCCCCGTAGTGGCAGCAGTTCGATAGGAAATGTTCATCAGTGCGGCATTGAGAATTACGGCGTCAAGGCGCGGCAACGTCGCGCACTCATCCACGAATGCGCGAACAGAGTCGTAGGATTGCATGTCGAGGATCCAGACAGATACGGCGGCAGCGGGAAACTCTTTGCGCAGCTGTGCTGCCGCCGATTCCCCTTTGGACTGCGAGCGGACACCCATGATGAGATGAGAGAGCCCAAGGCTCAGGAGGTGTCGAGATGCCTCGAATCCTATGCCTACATTACTACCCGTGACGACGGCGACCTGATCCGTGAGTCGGATGCCCGGGGGCAACGGCTTCGGTGTGGCGAACTGTCGGAACAGAAAGCCAATAAACGTAGACTCGAACCAAGCTTGGCTCTCGAGCTCGGAGGACATGATGACTAGTCGCGATATCGAACATGCGGCACGACCGCGTCTAATGACTTACCTATCGGAGCAGTGTGCGGGCCTACCACCCTTTTCAATTCTCCTCACTCCAACTGCCCTCCATTTATAAGCACCTGTCTTTCGTTTTGTAATGGAGCCGGACGACCGTTTTTCTTAAAACGGAGCCATTAAAAAACCTAGGTAAATCATTTAATTACGGCGCCCCGCCAAGGGTCTGGACCGTGTAGATCACCTCTTCCCCTCTTTCTAAGCGTAACAAGGTATCAAGTCGGGGGCGTAAGGGAGAGGTTTGGCATAGGTATAGCGACAGAGCGTGCAGTAAAAAGCCGATGTCTACGGTGCACCATTAGTGCGTATCCGACAAAACGATTTTCGCGAATTGAAAATCGACCGAAACGTAAAAATGGGGCCACCTTATTGAGCTACTAAAAAAGTCATCAACTTCAATTATATATTATTAAATCATTTCAAGAGATATAATTAAATGGATTTTATATTTAAATAAACGAATGCTTAATTTATAGGTGTATTTAAGTTATATATTACGTAATATAATATTCAACGAATTGAAAGTAGTTTAAGATAGTTAATGTTATGAAAGTTATCAACTTTTATTATATATCATAGAGTTAATTTAAAAGATATAATGAAAATTATATAATATATAGATAGATGTATGCTTAATTTATAAGTTAATATAAATCATTTCTCATATAGAATAAGGTTTATAAAGAAAAACGTAACTAAAGTAGATTATTATAATAAAACTTACTAACTTTAACCTTATATTTATAGATTAATTTAAGCAATATAATTATATATATTTAGTCTTTTAATAGAAGAATGCTTGATATATAAATAAATATAGAGCATCATTTATATAATATAACGTTTATAAGTAAAAACGTAAATAAAATAAAACTATTTTAATAAAAGTTAAGAATTTTAACATTATATTATAAAGCTAACTAAAGAGATATAATGAAATAAATATAATAATTCAATAAACAGTTCATTAATGTATATATTATTACTTATATAATATAATATTTATAAATAAAGATTTAAATAAAGAAAAGGCTTTTAATAAAGGTTTCTAATTTTAATACTATATTAAAAGGTTAATTTTAATAATGAAATTAAATATATTAAATTTTTCATGTTTAAATAATCTATGTATAAATATATATATCATTTATATAATATATAATGATATATGTACGAATATATATATATATATATATATTTAAAAAGTACGATAATACTATTATTATTTTTATAATATAGTATAATATAATATTAATAAAAAGAATTTCATAAAACTTATAAATATCTATTATAGCTATCTTTAAGATAAGTATTATATAATATATTGATTTAAATGAAAGGCCTTTAGTAAAAATAACAGAAGTAAAAGTTAAATTGATAATTATATATTACATAGTAAATATTAAATTAGAAATATATGAATTTTTATAAAGTAAATATTAATATATATATATATATACATATAAACTATTTCTTTATTTCTTACATTAAATACTAAATTATTTTAATCATATCTCTTTAATTAACTTTATAATATATAATTAAAGCTAATAGCTTTCATTAAACCATTCATCTTTATTAATAGTTTTATCTTTAAATAATAAATTATATAAATAATAACTTATATTCAACCATTAATGAAGCCATCTATTATTTAAATATTAAACAAGGTTTATTATATCTCTTAAGTTAACTTAGAAATATAAGGTTAAAGTCAATGACTTTTATTATAATAATCCAGTTTAATTACGTTTTTCTTTATAAACCTTATATTATATAAATAATAATCTATATCTGTTTATAAGTTAGGTACTTCTCTATCTAAATATTAGATAGTTTTTATTCTATCTTTTAAATTAATCTATCAATATAAGGTTAAAGTTAGTAACTTTTATTATAATAATCTACTTTAGTTACGCTTTTCTTTATAAACCTTATTCCATATAAGGAATAATTTATAATTACTTATAAATTAAGTATTCATCTATTTAAATATTGAAAAATCACAATTATATCTTCTTTATTAACGTTATTATATATTATAAAAGTTAATAACTTTTATAATATCAACTGCTTTTAACTATCTATAATTCTTTAGATATTATATTACGTAACATATAACCTATATACCCCTATATATTAAGCATTCGTTTATTTAAATATAAAAAATTCGTTTAATTATATCTCTTTAATTGATTTAATACTATATAATTAAAGTTGATGACTTTTATGGTAGGTCAATAAGGTAGCCCCACTTTTACGTTTCGGTCGATTTTCAATTCGCGAAAACCGATTTTCGATTTCCGAAAATCGGTTTGTCGGATACGCACTAATGGTGCACCGTAGATGTCACCAAAAATCTGTTTCAGCCCAACGAGTTAAGGCCGAGAATCTTAGTGATCATAAGAGCCCTAAATGCAATAGCAAAAAATGGCGGCTGGAACTCTCCGCCATAAAGAATCAAACCGGATTACTAAGGCCTGCCCGCAGATATCTAAGATCTCTTAGACAAGGTGCTTAGGTTCTGGCACAAATGGCTTATTGCAGATTGGGCATACTGCCCAACGAATGCTACTAATAGTGAAACTGGCTATTCGCGCGCTCTTCCTGCGGGTTCGACGGCACGACCTAAATTCGAACAAGCTTGGTTATTACATTGCATTCGAGCGCACCTCGTCGTCAACATAATGTGCTTTCAACACTAAACTTATCTCCGCTGTCCTGATTTAGGCCCTCCGGGTGGAGAAATGCGAGCGAGCCCGGCCCACAACCGGTCAAGACGACAGCATGACCACCGGCAGGAGCTATTCAGCGATAACATTCCTTCGTATCCTGATAAGGCGAAACTGATTTCGAGGCGGATTCACCCAGACCGAAGGACGTGCGAAAAACCCTTAAATATTAACAGTTGTAGCATATATTTTCTATAATACAGCAAGGCAAGCTTAGCGGTCTGTTAAGGTAGTTTTATCAAGGTCGGAGGAATAAGGGCTTTAGAAGTCCGGTCATCTAATATCATCCCTCTTTAATATCTCCTGTTTAGCAACATCGAGGTCTGATCAAAACGCCCCACCGACTTTTACGATGAGTTTGTTGTCACCGGGGTTTCTTTTATAGGCATTATTTTGAGGTATCTCTTTCTGCGTTGACGGCCCGCGGGACATCTATATCTGGTAGGCTGTTTTCAGCCTGTCCATTGCGACGGTAAGCCTCTCGGGCTCCACGGCAAAGGAGACGCGAACCCAGCCTTTGAAATCGGGGGGCATATGATAGTCAGCGGCCGAGAACAAGAGGACGCCGGTCTTTTGATAGAAGGCCACCGCCGGGGCCTTGATGTACTGAGCACCTAGGTAGCCTATAACCTGGCCTACCGACATCGCTTATAGTACATACCTGTATATGGATATGTGCGCACAGGTATACTATTTGCTGTAACTGACAGCAGACCGGTGGCTTCGATGACCTGAAAGCAGTTCGGCGGTTCTGTTAGATTCTCCGTTTCGGAGGCCGAGAACCTGAGAATCACGGCCATCACAGCCCCTCTAAAGAACGAGAACGCCATGGTCACTGTACCTCACACTGAGCTGCTCCCTCCCGCGATCCGTATAAGCCCAATTAGAGTCTCGTCGCCGAGATATAGTATGGGCTAGAACGATCGTGGTGTTCTCTGTCGGTAAGGAAGGGAGGTGGTCTGGACGTTTTGTTTTTCAGCTGCCTTTCTTCTCAACAGGGGATGGAACTTTGGGGGCAAGGTGGGAGGATTTCACCTCGGTACCGTGCTTGGGAGATTTGTTGTAGGTACAGTATATGTGTAGCGTATCAGTCCTAAGCAAGTTCTCCACCGTGCCGATCTGGGGCCGTTAAATTCTAGATGCTCTATAGTCTTCCCCAATTATCATTCCCGCAGCGCTCTATGTATTATATACGAAACTACGTAGCAGTACAGTTCCGGCTGAGTTTCCGAATCATGCCCAAAAATAGGACCGGTGTAAATCAGATCCCGAAGCTCTCTTCTAAGCGCAATTCTCTATCACTCCCTTTCTAGGCTCTGCTTAGGCAAGATATATCCCTCGCTCGTATTGGATGTCGCCGCACCTGTCTTTGGGTTTCCCCGAGTCACGTGGTTTCGTCGTCGACTGTCATCATCGGGCAGCTTCTGGGACGGCGGGATGTCTGACGGCTGATGGGAGTGAGATCTTACCGATCGGAGTCTCAATATCGACGAGTCCAAGGTCTGCTTGACGAGTCTGGTAGCTAGTCCCACAAGCGGGTTCAGCGCGGGTATGCTTCTAATAATAATCGCGATGTTTCTCTCCATTCCGGACCACATAAGACCCAGGACGATGCTGAACGACATATCGGGCCCGGGGGCGGCAGGGATATGAAGCTGAGGGCCTGTCTCAACGATTCGTGTCATAGCAAACACTCCGGTCCTGTCCAGTAGTCAGTCCGCCAACCCGCCGGGATACCGCGGAGCTACACTCACAATGTGCCCAGATCTACCAAACCAAAGACGAGAACCTTGGTTCCATTCCGAAGTTGCAACTTGTGTAAGAAGAAGAGAAGTGAGGATGCCAGGGAAAAGGTCAGAGAAGGAAGAAAAGGCTAAGAGCAAGTTAGACCACGTGGATACTAGCGGCTACGGGCGGCTTTGCGAAGTTAGACGACTCAGCTCCTTGAAGAAGAGGAAATGCAAGTCTGGTATTCATGGTCCAGCATGTACCCGGGGTTAGAAGATCCCACGATTTTTCAGTCAGGTTGCACGCAACATAGAAGGTGATGATAACAACGGTGTTGACAACAAGGACCGAGATGCCTACGGTCCATAGCAAGACTCGGTGGAGGCGGTTCCCCGAGCCACGAAGCACTCGTATGTACGACACGACGATGGACAGCTTCGCAAAGCTCAAAGCATTTACGCAGAAGACTTGCGCGAGAAGACTGTAATATTGCTGATTTACCGCTTGTTCGTAAGTGAGGTACGTATGCCGGCCGAGACCATGATCCGTAGCCACGAAATCGATGATGGTGGCGAGAAGAGCCTGGACCTGCGAGGGCCGTGAGCCTTTACAGGGGACCACCAAGAATCCTGGACGGGGAGCACCCACCAATGCGAACACCATCAGGTAGTCGTCTCATCCTCTTTGAGTGTACTTCCAATGTGTGAAGCATCGAAGCGCGATCACGATAGCGGCACATATAAACGTCACTGTTGTGCCCACTTCCAGTTTCCAGCCGATATCGATGTCTCCATCAGGGGGAGGTTGAGGCCTTGCCGACATGGTAGAGCAGGAGACAGGCGCGGCAAGAAGTGGTCTTAGGAAGGGTAGACACTCACTGTGTGATGGCCGATTCAGTCGGAGAATCGCGTATCAGGATGCTAAGTCTCGGGGCTCCCATATTGAACGTGATGGCTTCGTATGGCCTCCTGCCTATTAATAATCACAGATCACACAGGGCTCAGAGAGGCGTTTTGCAGCTGAAAGAATTTCGGGGGAGAGGGGGGAGGGGGAGGGAGAATCTGGTTGCCATCGTCGAAGCCTCCTACCACTTCCTGCCGGTGGCGGACACTTCTCGCTGGGGCCCTACTAATACGTCTGAGACTGTGCTGTACCACTCACTCTCGCTTGGGTGCCGTTGGACAGAAAGCAGAAGGCGAGTGGCTTCAGCCATAGAGTTGTTTATTTCACGCATACTACGCGGGCGCACGGAGGCAGTGTCCAGATGTGGTGAGAAGCACGGATGAGGTCTATTACACGATTTCCTTGCTGCAATACAAGGCTGGCTTTGCGCCGCACCAGCACTGTATGCTTCTATTCTTATCATGATGAGAGGTAGGTAGGTAGGTAGGTAGCTTGCGCGCTGCCGCGAGGGGAGGGGGAGGGGGGAGGCGGTTCGGAGCACAAACTCCCCCCCCTTCCCATACCGCAGGATTCCCTCGTCGCATAAACTCTTCGTTTTCTTCCTGTTGTGGGTTCTCCAAACTGCCACGAGGGCGTCGCATTGGAAGTAAGGGGGATAAATACGAAGTTAAGTGCGAGCCTTATGTGGCGTGCTACACCATACGGGATTGAAAGAGAAGTCGGCCCGTCTGCCCCTACATTTTGGCGGAAACGGTGAGGTGGGACATGATTTTGGCACGTATCTCCTCCATAAGGCTTCTGTGTACCCAACACCCCGAGCCTGCCGACGTGTTGTTAGACAGTGTCGTGCCACAGCACTCGTACAGGTTCCCGTTCTCCAGCTGTCGGTAATCGGCGGGCTACTTTTTTTGAGAGAGAGAGAGAATATCACTTGGTAGCAAAAGCAAAGCTAAGGCTACTCTTAATGATAAGAACCTATGGAGCATTATGGCATTAAGCTCAGATACCCTTCCACGGGCGACCCCTTCACGGATGGCATGCCTGAGAAGGCCAGAGTTGTGCTTGTTCCCTTCAGGAAAATAACGATTGTTCGCTGAATTTATGTTGCCGCGGAACTGGTGTGCACTGCACAAGCTATAGAAAAGGGGTACTGCTCAGATGCTAACTTGGTGTGCCGACGCGGATACCCTCAGAGCTTTTCACCGAGTCAGTGGGAACTTTCAACCTTGCTGATGAGGTCTTCCAGCTGCTCAGCGACAAAAGGCGGGTTGTCCTTCTGGACAAAGTGCCCACACTTGGGTGCGATCAGCGGCCCCTTCGCCCTGTCCGGGTCGGTAAGACCGCAGAGCCCCTCGTTGTACTTCTCCCACATACTGTTTCTTCTTAGCGGAGCGAGCAATAGAGCAAGGGACAGGCGTTAACTTACGGTTGAGTATACATCGCGGCCATGCCTAAAGGAACCTTCAGCATAGCCGACTCCTCCTGGGAGAATTGTTCGAGCTCTTGACCCACGACGGTCACCCAAGGGCCTTTACCCGAAGTCTTCGATCCCTTCAGCTTGGGCTTAGATGGGTCGGGGAGGATGTTTCTGATCTCCCGCCGATCGAAGCCTTCGTTGTTTTTGGCGTCCGACGCAAATATCGTTGTCATCTTTGCGTAGGCGGCTTCGTACACACCGAGCGGGGTGTCCGGGGGTGCCATCTTCTCCAGATCGGAGGAAGGATCCTTCGGATTGGGCCAGATCTGGGCGTAGTCGGTGTTTCCCGGGTTGGAGTCGAGGAAGAGGATTCCTTCGACAATGGTAGGATATCTAGCTCAGACGCGAGCCGTTAGCAGCAACGCTAGCAATGTGGTATATAGGCTCGATGTCAGCGATCACCTGTCCGCATATCTTCGCGCCACGTGGGCTCCTATGCTGTTGTTAACGAAGACAATGCGGGAGCAGCGGTCTGGAGACAGAGTTTGAATCAACTCGTGAAGATCGTCGGTGACATCGTCTAGCGTGTGCGCGTAGCCGGGATCCTTGTTCGGCCAGCTTTCGCGCGGGTCTCTTGCCGAAGCGCCCTGGCCGTAGCGGTCGTACGTAAGTATCCACGGCTTCGGGGAGAGACTCGACTGCTGAACGAGGTCGATGGTCGGCTTCCAAACGCCCTGAGCGAGGCCGAGGCCGTTCAGACAGACGACAAGGAGACTGCTGGCGGCATCGCCTGGGAAGATCTCGTACGCCACTGGGGCGTCTGTCTTGGAAGGGAGGGCCACGGTAGGCATATTGTATCAGACAGATAGATGCCTTGAATAGGCCACGAAACGGGACTCGCTGTTGTTGCTGGTGGTTCTTCCGCTGATGATGAAAGGGAAGAAAATATGCCAAGGGAGTCCATTTTACCTTGAAAAAAAAAGCAGCTCCAGATGGTGGATTGCTCGGTATTAGCAGATCGTATCTCGGGACACTGTGATAGACACTGTGATAGGCGCGGAGTATAGAGCTAATGAGCCGCGACTACTCAGACCGGTTGGTAGCATAACGAAACTGACCGACTGCGCCGAAGCCAATTGAGCCTGACACTAATATGAATGTTTATTACTCTGTGGTCGCTTGATAGGGGTGCTGCCGCCCTGTGATTCAAGTTGTGACGCTGTGACGCGCTATGCTGTGACGGCCGCGTCGGCCGGCCAGGTAGCCGTCGTGGTTTGGCATCCCCCACCTCGCCGCCCTTCCGTCCTTTGCCGACAACTAGGCAGATAGCCAGCGCTACCCATTCTGCCTCTCGAGTTGTGTAATTCGACGTATCCCCCTCTCAGCATGGCCACTTATCAAAGGCATCCCAACCTATGGTTGGCTGAGATGCGAGGCTCCGTGTGGGGGGCGGAATCCGGCAAAGGGGCGACTCCTCAAGAGCGAAGAGCGAGGTGGTCGTGGACAGACAACCTGGCTACGGGTGAGACTCGCAGCAGGTATGGTCGGGTTACCTGACACCTCCGGCTGTCGAGACAGGCGGAATACTGCAGCTCCAAATCGCGAGACAGCGGGGGCCGGCACAGGATGTAGCACCACAATCCCGCTCGGGTAAGAAAAACAGGATTGCGGGAAGTTCGGCCGGTATCACACGGGGATGGAACCCTGCGCCAACAGTCAGGTTATAAGGGTCAGGAGGACAATATCGGGCATTAAGGCTATTACCTCGGCGACCTACTAAGGAAAGTCCTAAATAAGCTTCGGATAGCTTCGGTAGTAAGGTATAAAGGTATTAAGGTATAAAGGTACCTCTAAAATATATTAAAACGAAAAGAGAACGACGGATTAGGGAAAGGATAAGAACCTAAGAAACCTCCTATAAAATTATTAATTAAATTAAACCTATTTTAAGTATATCCCCTTATTATAAATAATTTTATATTACTCTTACCCTTATAACTTTATTATAAGTTAATAATAAGGAAAGCCTACGCCTAAGCCGGTATCGTACGCCTAAGCCGCTAACCCGGTACTATCGCTACTAAATTAACCTCGATCCTTTACTAAAGAACTTAAACCGTAGGCGTTCCCGCTCCCGCGAACTATTACCCTAAGACTAACGTCGGTTTTTATAGCGAAAGTAGCCTAGATAATAACTACGATTAACGAATTAAAAGCCGTAATAATAAAGTTAAAGGCTAAGGACGCCGAGCGATAGCGAAACTCTCCGGCGTCCTAGCTAGAACTAATCCCCGAACCGACCGATAAATTCCTCGTCGTATACTAACCCTAAGAATACGAAGTAATTATAACGGATATCCCGGAGATTATAAACTCGGGGGTAGTTATACGTAATCCTCCGTAGTAAATCGTAAATTTATATAAGTAAATAAAATAAGTATATTAAAGCCTAGCGATACTAGCTAACTAAGTCGATATAAAATACCGATAAAATACGATCCTAAAGAAATAATACGAATAACTACGGTAGCTTTATTAAACCGCTACGGGTATATAAGCTACCGGTATCCGAACTACGAAGATATAAATCCATAAGTTCTAGAAGTAAGTCGTAGAATAAAGTACCTACTTCGCTTAGAACGTATAAGAAACCGTAACTAAGTTTACCCGATAAAATAAAGTACGAACGGCCGTTATAAACTAACTTCGAAACGCCGCGTTATAAAACTAACGAGCCTTAACCTAGTTACGCGAAAAATATAATAAATTAATAACGGACGTTAGCTCCTAAGCTACGTAAAAGGATAAATAAATTAACGAGATCCTTAGTAAGAAATACCTTACTCCCGGGGCTATAAAGGAAAAAACCTAGCTAATTAAAGACGACCTTAAAGCTTACGCGGCTAATTTAATTAAGAAATACTAATAACGACGACTAAGTAATAAGCTAACGGATATTAAATCCATTATCGCCGGAACTAACTAGAGGATAAGGATACCTATTCCCGCGCCGGGTACCCGTATTACGATAACGTCTACCGGGAAATACTTTAATAATAAGGCTAGAATAAAGGAAATCATTTCCGACGGCGTACTTTAAAACGCCGCGGCTAAACGTATCGCCGCGCGTATAAAAGCCCGTTTCTAAAATACCGCGATAGGCGCCTTTATATTAAGAGAAGCCGGGTAAGGACTACCGTAACTACTATAGACCCCGCGGAACGCCTTAGGGAACCTAAGGAATTCCGATAATTCGAATAGCTTAAAATCTAAGGACCCGTAAAGGCCGCGACGCTTATTCGTCGCCCCTAAGGAACCTTAAGAGTCTCTCGACCCGGCCGAAAAACGTATAATCCGGACCTAGACTAAAGCTATAAATAATCGACGAAATATTACGATAATTATTAACCTAGTATACCTTATTAAGCCTACGGCTTATAACGGTAAAAACTTAGCTAAGTTCCGACCATAATAAATTAAGGTTAAATCCTACCTCGAAACTTACGAAGAAAGTTTTACCCGGGATATCTAAAAGATTAACTAAATAAAATCGATACTTACCGAAAAGGCCTAGCTTTAGCATTAATAACGAATAACCTAGGTAAAAAGGTTAATAGTCGTCGATATTTAGGTAGGATATTCCTAAGTATTTTAAAAGCGGTTTAAAGATCCCGCCGAACGATATCGTAACTCTAAGAAGATATAAGAACTTAAGTACTAAGGAAACGTCTCCTAATACCTTACCGAGCTTATAGATCTTAACGACGTCGTTTAATAATCCGGAACTACCTTTTAAAACTATATCGCCCGTACTTTACCCGATAAAATAATAAAACTAGTTTATTTATAACTAGATAATATTCCCGAAAGCGACGAAGCCTTCCTTAAAGTAATTAAGAAAGCCGGCTAAATTTACGAAAACATAATAGCTAACCTAGGAATTTCGAGAAAAGGAGGGTCTACTTCGTAAAAGGAGCATATAAAAGCGGATTAGTAACTACGGTAACCCGTAAAAGAAACTCGCTCCCGCTTAAGCTAACCGGTAAACGAACGTAAAGGTAAAAATAATAAGAAACCCGTACCGGCTAAGAACTTACGATAAATAAGTAATAAAAAGGCTTTAGCCGGGATTAATTAAACCGCTATCGACTAACGAAAGAAGGATAAAAAGACCTACTAAAGGTATAAAAGGAATAATTACTAAACCCTAGCTTATTTCGTAAAAAAGGACTTAGAAAAACGGAACTTACTTACGCTACTTAAAAAGGTCTTATCGGGAAAAAGAGGAAGGGAGAAGCCCGAACTACTACCTAATAAAAGGGCTAAGATCGATACTACCATACGATAGGAGGAAACTCTTCCCCGTATTATAAAGCTATCCGATTCCGATAAAGAGCGGGATTTTTAAACGCCCCCCGCAAGCGTTAACGGAAGAAAAGGGCGATAAAAATAACGTAAAGATTACGGCTACTAAACGGCCCGGAACGCTAGAAATAACGGAAATAATACTAATAGTAAAGAAACTACGAGTCCCTTAGCGTAACCTAAACGAGCTAAGGTTAGATAAACGGCCTATCCATACGATATAAATAAAATACTAAGGAAAGGAATACCCCTTACAAGTCCTACTAAATACCGGTAGCGAGGTACCCTTAATTAATACGGCTAAGGTTAAGTAGCTACGCCTTCTTATTAACTAACGCTCGAAACTAAGAACCCTAATAAGATTCGACGGCTCCGAAATCTCGTTAAAAAGGCTTTAATATACGAATAAAATAAAGCTCCGTAACTACGAATATATCTACCCCGTCGCTTGGAAAGTTAGTAAATTAAACGAAGAAGTCGACGCTATCCTACCCTAGTAATAAATAAAGGAATACCCTCCCTAGGGCTTATTTACGAAGGAACGATTATATTTTAACTTACCTAAATACCGGAACTACCGCCCCCGGCCGATCCGTATAGGAACTACGCGAGAAAAGGACGCTTTAGCGTAAGTACCCGAGTAATTCCGCGACTTCGTTCCTATTATAATTAAAGAAGCGGGGTAACGGTTCCCCGATCGGTAATTATAGGACTACGCTATCGAACTTCGTCTAAGGACTACTCCCCCGTAAGGACCCTTATATGTTATAAGTAGACGATAATTAAACGCCTTAAAACCATAACTCGACGAAATAATAGTTATAAGGAAAATCCGGAAATCTAAGGCCCCCTATAGCGTATTTATAATATTTATAAATAAGAAGAACCCGGGCGCCTTAAAACCGGTAGCTAACTACCGGGGGTTAAATAAAATTATAATACCTATCCGATACCCGATTCCGTTAATTAACGAATTATAAAACCTATTTTAAACGGCGTAATAATTTACTAAGATTAATTTAAAGTTTAGCTTTTATATAGTACGAATTAAGAAGGGCGACGAATAAAAAACCGCCTTTAAAACGTAATATAAGCTATACGAATATACGGTTATACCTATAGGGTTAATTAACGCCCTAGCTACCTTCCAAGTTATAATAAACCATATCTTCTACGACCTCTTAAACGTAGGAATTATTACTTATTTAAATAACGTTTTAATCTACGCCGATACGCTAGAAGAATATAATAAACTAATTAAAGAAGTCCTAAAACGGCTCATAAAAAACCATTTAGCGGTAGCCCTAAAGAAATATATCTAACGAACGTAAGACGTTAAGTTCTTAGGATATAATATAAGCCCTAAAGGTATTACTATATCTAAGAATAAAATAGAAGCTATCCTTAACTAGCGTACCCTAGCTATACTTAAAAACTCCTAAAGCTTTATCGGGTTCGCTAACTTCTACCGTAAATTCATACGTAACTTTTTAAGCATAACTAGGCTAATTATTAGCGCTAATAAAAGGAACCGCAAGCTATAGAAATAGGAAATCGAAATAGAAAAGGCCTTTTAGGAACTAAAAGAAACCTTTATAAAAGCCCCGGTACTTATATATTTCGATCCTAATTAAGTCCCGATCGTTAAAGCTAACGCTTCGGACTTCGTTATTTCGGCCGTTCTTTCGTAAAAAGACGAAAAAAAAAGACTAAAACCCGTAGCCTTTTTCTTTAAACGACTTACCCTAGCGGAAATAAATTACGAAATATATAATAAGGAATTACTAATAATCGTCGACGCATTCGAAAAGTAGCGATACTATCTCGAAAGTACTTAGCATTAAATAAAAGTATACTTAAACTACTAGAACCTAACGTACTTTACTACGGTAAAAGTACTAAATCGACGATAAGCCCGCTAAGCTTAATAGCTCTTCTCGTATTACTTTATAATATATTACCGCCTAGGAAAGTAAAATAAGAAGGCCGATATTTTATTTAAATTACTATAATATCGCCTTAAAAAAGGAAGAGCTAAGGACTAGCCGATAGCGACGGTCCTATAAGAAAAGCATTTTTTAAAATATTCGGGCTTACTTACGGTAATACTCTCTAGCGTACGACTAAGTAATATCCTAATACCCGCTTAAACCCTAGAGTTCGTTAAATAGGTTAAAACGGTAGCTACGTAAGACCTAGAGTATTAAGCCTAGTTAATTAAATTACTCGGTAAGGAGATAAAGCTCTAAGAAGGCCTTCTCTACCGACGGAACCGCCTCTAAATACCTAAGGACCTATAATAAGAAGTAACTAAATTAAAATACGATACTAAAGTAGCGGGATATATAAGTATAAATAAAACTATAGAACTTATTACTCGAAACTTTTAATAGCCTAACCTAGAAGTAATAGTTAGGGAATTCGTTAGGGGATATCGCGAGTACTAATAAAATAAGGTACCCCGATATACCCCGTTCGGATTACTATAGCCTATAAAACTATATTATCGACCATAATAAATAATCGCGATAGACTTTATTACGGACTTACCGATATTTAACGGCTACGATTTTATATAGGTTATTATAGATCCCTTTACTAAGATAACGTACTTTATTCCGTTAAAGAAAGACGGTAAAAAAGCGAAGGACTTAATACCTATCTTTATTCGTAATTACTAACGGCTATATAGGATCCCCTTAGATATTATTTCCGACCGAGACTTACGGTTTACCTCCTATATATAAAAGGATATTCTAAAGCTCCTAGAAATTAAGCCTAGAATAAGTACCGCCTTTTATCCTTAAATAAATAAGTAAACGAAAAGATTTAATTAAATCCTAGAAATATACTTACGCGCCTTCGTAAATTACGAAATAAGCGACTAGGAAAGCCTACTCCCTACTACCGAATTTACTTATAATAATATTACTTCGATAGCTACTAGTATATTATCCTTCTACGTTAACTACGAATAATACCTAGTAGTATATAATCTCCTATTAGGTATTCCTAAGAACCTAGGAAATAACCTTTATACTTATTAAATAACTAGGATATATAACGAAGCTAAGTAATATTTAGAAAAAGTACGGTAGCGGATAAAAGGATAGGTAGATAAATACCGAAAGAAAGAACCCCCTCTAAAAGTCGGATAGCTTATTATACTAAACGCCCGTAACATTAAAACCAAGCGCCTTATAAAGAAGATAAATAAAAAGATACTCGGTTCCTTTAAGATCTAAAAGATCGTCTCCCTTACCGCCGTAACTCTAATACTCCCGAAAGACTAACGTATTTATAATACCTTCTACGTATCCCTTATCGAACCTTACCGCGCTAGTAATTAAGAATTACCTAATCCTAACTAAGTCCTACGGAAAGTAGCCCCGATTAAGGTAGAAAATTACGAAGTAAATAAGGTACTAAATTCCGCTAGGACCGGAAAAGTTATTAAATATTTAATAAAGTAATAAGGATAGCCGGCTAAGCGCTACTAAACCTAGGAGCCGTAAAAATACTTTACTACCGAAAAAGCAAGAGAAGCTATTAAGTTATTCCATTAATAAAACCTTAATAAGCCCGCTAACTAACGAACCTAGGTACCTAACTAACGCTTAAAGACGAGCTTTTTTAATAAGGAAAGATATTATTATACGGGGATAGAATCCTACGCTAATAGTTAGGTCATAAAGGTTAAAAGGATAATATCAAGCATCAAGGCTATTACCTCGGCGACCTACTAAGGAAAGTCCTAAATAAGCTTCGGATAACTTCGGTAGTAAGGTATAAAGGTACTAAGGTATAAAGGTACCTCTAAGATATATTAAAACGAAAAGAGGACGACGGACTAGGGGAAGGACAAGGACCTAAGAGACCCCCTATAGAATTATTAATTAAATTAAACCTATTCTAAGCATATCCCCTTGTCACAGCCGGTAATGACCCCTTCGTTGTCCTAGAAGGCTGCGAGAGAGGCACTTACGCATGGAGTGTTACGGTTCATAGCATTGGTGACCTTCTAACAAAAGTGACGAGGGGCTGTACCTAGGTATGCCATGCTTACCGTACTGTGTATCGTACGAGGTGCGTTGAATCTAGGCCTATTAGTTAGCTAGTTCTTTAGAACTTCATCACGGCTTGCGAAATGTAATTGATCTCTGGCATGAGCATCGAGCATCGTGTTGTTGAGTATCGTGGTTCTAGAAACCACCCCGTTTCCGATGCTGGGAGAAGTTGTGAGTGCACAGCCAGAATGGCATACGCCGCCGCCTCGGTGCGGACAGCGTCTGCCGCCTGCGCTTCTGGATGAGATCGCGGCCCAAGATCCGGGGCGGGTGCTCTATTCGATCGCGAAGACGGATAATATGCAAGATGGCTTTCAAGATATAACCTACAAGACGATTGCAAATGCAGTCAATCGCTGTGCTCGCTGGCCCCAACAAACGCTCGGGACTGATAAGTCACGGGTCTTCTGTTACTTGGGACCTCTGGATCTACGATACGTCGTTCTCGTCATGGCTGCTCCCAAGGCGGGGCACACGGTAGGCCATCTTCCCGAGCATCAAGATTCCCCCCTGGCTGACGGTGAAGATACAGGGCCTTCTTCACCTCCCACCGGAACAGTCTCGAAGCTCACATATCATTGGTCAAACGGACCAGTTGTTCTGCCCTACTCCTCTCCGAAAAACCGCTTCCTGTTGCTCGGCACATTTTGGAAGACTGGCCGATGGAACAGGTCACGACCCCGGATTTGGACTTTTTTCTTGGCGAAGAGCTAGTAGAAGTCGTTCCGTTTCCCAAGACCTTCGAAGAAGTCAGAAATGAGCCGTTCTACATTCTTCATACGTCCGGGTCCACCGGCATCCCGAAGCCTGTGCCTATAACATACGGGTCGTATGGTGGTATGGATTCCCAGCTTCTGTTGCCGTCGCTCGGCCACAAACCGACGTTTTTGAGCTACGTCCGAGGGAAAAGGGTGTTCTTCGCTCTTCCGGTGTTCCACGCCGCCAGTCTCAACTGGACGATAGGACTCGCCTTGTTCGCCGGAGTGATATGCGTGCTGCCCCCTCCCATGCCGCTCACCGCTCATCTGGCCAGCCAAATTTTCCAGTATTCCCAATCCTACGGCGCCGTTATGGCACCCTCTCTTGTCGTCGACTGCTACAACAATGACACCTATTGCGTGAGGATGCTTCAGAGCCTGAAGTTCATCGTATATGGAGGCGGCATGTTGCCAGAGGAGGTCGGCGATGTCCTCTGCCATAGGATCAGACTGATGACTCTGATGGGATCTTGCGAGACGGCGTTGCTTCCTCATCAGATGCTTGACGACCCTCGGGACTGGGAGTACATTTCTCTGAGCCCATGTCTCGGTCATATATTCCGAAACGATCGCGACCGGTTGGGCAATCTAACCATCGTGAGACAGAGGAAGTACGAATCGCACCAAGGTGTCTTCTCGACGTTCCCGCAGAAGGAAGAGCATGCTATGGGCGATTTGTTCGAGCCTCATCCCCTCAAACCAGGGCTGTGGCGCTTCCGCGGAAGGGCAGACGATATCATCTCTTTCACCACGGCGGAGAAGCTAAATCCCTCCACGATGGAGAGTATCATTCAGGCGAACCCGCGTGTCAAGTCGGCAGTCATTGGAGGTCAAGGCCAGTTCCAGGCGTCCCTCCTCCTCGAACCACGTGAGTATCCGAGGAACGCCGCAGAAGAGCAGACTTTCCTCGACCAGGTGTGGCCAAGCATTGTTCAGGCCAACCGCGACTGTCCCGCCCACGGCCGAATCATGAGGGGTTTCGTGATGCTGACAGACCCGGCGAAGCCTCTCCCCCGCGCGAGTAAGGATACCGTGCAACGCCATGCGGTTTTCAAGCTGTACGTGGCGGAGTGGGGGTCCCTATACGAGCGCCAGGCTCGGTTGAATCCGACTTCGAAGGGGCCTATGGTGCCTTCGTCAGCCCCCCCGGGAAAGCCTCACGGCAACCCTGGCGAAGCAGATGACGGTTCCGTCTTGTCTGATAAGATGGCCTCCGCAATTGGGGCTATCGTTGAGCGGAAAATTTCGGCAGCTCTCGACCGGTTTGCATCTGCACTGCTGGCAGCCGCCAGTCAGCTCTATTCTATGAGCTCTTCGGTCTCCGACTCTGCTCCACAGGAAACACGGTCTCCGGCAGGGGGAGTAGCCTGTTCAGAGGGAATTACCAATGGCGTCGTCAGTGCTCCAAGTACGTTGAGCGCTCATGCCGCCCCCCGTGACCACGATTCCAAGAAGCGAGCTAGTGGACGACTGCGCCAGATAATCTACGATACACTCGCTGAGAATGTTGAGGTTGACGACCTTGAGGATGGTACCGATCTGATTGAATTTAGGCTTGATAGCCTTCAAATCGTCTCCCTCCTGAATGCGATCAACGCGTTCATTGTTAGGTCCGAGCAGCCAGTGGACCTCGTTCAGATCGAAGCCATCTACTCGAACCCTACCGTCGCGAAGTTGGTAGCAGCAGTTGTTGAGTAATGAAGGTTTCGGCAATAATCTCACCACAGTGGGTATTCATTCAATGAAACCGGCATACCTTTATCCAGTTGTAAATCCCGAATACTTGCAGCGTGCGCCTATGAGACTTACCACCAGGATAAATTAGCCGCACTTCCTTGTATGCCTCTCCCGCCGGGTTCATTATAACCGCTCCCTTGCTCAACTTCCAGATCTTTAAACACCCAAGACAAACAATAAGTGTACAGGCAACCTACCTTTAAATCATACAGCTTAGCCACCGAGGCGAGTCTGTTTGCCTCACCTTGCCAGCGTAGTAGGGAATACTCCGCTCCTCGGGCGGACGGGGCCCTAGCGTCGATCGTCCTCTAAAGCAATTCCGTTATTGATGACCCTTACCGTGTCCGTATAGTACACCAGCTCTACCAATCCGAGATACATGGGGACCATATTCAGACCCGAATCTTGTCTCGTCGCTGTGTTCCCTCCGGCCAATCTATGAGAATCCTACTTTGTTTGCTATAATCGGAGTAGATTACGTTTCCTCTCCTCCTCCGCTTCGATCTTTTCGTCAATTAAATACAGTTTGGTACTACTACTTATTTAAAGAGCCGCCGGGCGGTAGCGCTAAGGTGGCTAGGGCTAGCTGTAGCCATCTTTTGCCTTACAGGGAATTATTAACGTCTTAGGCAATAATTATGGGAGGCCTCTAATACTTCGTATATACCTGGGCACAAACCGTGCAAAACCCGGGCGAGGGATACTCCACGGCTCATCTTACTGATGACTGTTCTTGGGCGGCTGATGCAATCCGCCGGTGCTTTTGGCAAATGTGATTGTTACAGCTACCACCGTTTCAAGCTGATCATATTCGCATTGGTCAGTGGGAGAGGCGTTGATCTTTGCGAGGTAATGCAATTTCCGCCGGTTCGTTCGCCGCTGCACGAGAATCGCCGCTTCGCCTCTGGATAGACGATTGTAGACAGCTCCCGGATAAATACCTATTATATAATACCATCTAAACATAATCTCCTTCCTCCCAGCTTCTCTTCTCCACCTCAAACTCTTTCGAGAAGTCCCCGAAGGCCCTAAAAGTCTCATGCATCACGTTGCGCCATCGTTGCGTATATCTAAATCCTTCAAACAAGGCTTTTGTATAGTCCCAATATTCGGGATAATAACCGGAGTTTTCCCAATCGACAATCCCCATGACCCTCCAGCCCCTAGTCCCATCCGGCCTAGTGACTTGGTCAACCAAGATATTCCGCGAATTCAAATCTGCATGCGTGAAGACAATCTTGTGCCCTCTGCGACTTGGCTCATCCGGGTTACGCAGCAACTGGCTAAAGCTCGCCTCGTCCACGAACGGTCCCACAGGATTTCCACCCTGGATGCGAGTGTCTCTGCAAGGTCCACCCAAAGTATTACAAATGGCATATTCCGGGCTAACGGCCTTAGGGATGGCTCGAAGTTGGGTCAGGTAGTCTTGCATTTGAGCAACAAAATCGGCGGCGTCTTCGTCCGATAGCATTTCCCGGCAATAGGAAAGTGGAACACCAGGTATGCGGGTTGTGAGAAGGTACGCGTCGCGACTATACAAGCCGTCTTCTGATTCTGTCGGTTTGGAGACTATGTCAAGCGGTCGGGGAACAGGAATCGAAGTATACTGGCGGACCATTTGTATGGCATTGAACTCGTTGTGTAAGCCATCGGGGTCCCCCAAATACTTCAGGTACAGTCCGAACGGGAGTCTTTGAACGAGGCAGAAGGGGCCGGGCGCTCCATAAATGCGACGTCCCACCTTTTGCAACAGCCTGTAAGTCGCTATTCGGGCCCTAGCCGGGACTGTGCGCCAGGCTGCGAGGCAGATGCTGTTGAAAAATTCCATCAGGGAGAAACCGTGGCTTTGACCAAACTGCCGATTTGTAATTTGCTGATTTGCTAGAACGGTCGTAGGGGGTGGTCCAATGCGCTTGTTCAAGGATGCATATTTAGCAACATCGAGCCACCGAATGCTCGGGGCAAGTCGCGCGTGGGTTCCCACAAAACGTGCATCAACCTTCTTGGTCCCGGATCGAGAGTGATCACCCAAAAGCGGATAAGAGCCGTCGAGATCGATGGGGTTTGCCAGGCTGCCGATGGATATTGGTTGGACCTCATACTATTTGGTAGTATATCAGCATGAAATAAGGAATATATGCGGCGTTGATTATAACCCACTTCAATCATTGACGGTTGTATTCTATTTAACCTCAGAAGGCCCCGGGAAAAGGCATCAGCGGCTGATTTTCTGACGAGCCAGTGAGTATAATACGGGCTCATGTCCCCGGGGTTTCGAGTATGACTGAGCCACCAGTCACGATATGGCGGGGTAAAGAAAGCGCCGAGCATATCGAAGATTCGGGGCTAAGAGGGCACGAGTGAATCTGTGTTTTTATTGTATCGTAACCGTCCGGGATGATTGCACGTACCTCGGGTTCAGTCAAATTAGAGGGCACTGGAAGGATTGGAACAACGACCAGCGGATCCCAGAAATGGCCTGCTTTGCCTGTAATGCAACACTTGAATCCATCTCGCTTGGTAATGGCAAGCTGAGTGGAAGCGTCGGGTGCGGGCGCGGGAGAGCCATGAAGAGAGACTGGAGCGCTCGTTAACAATATCGAAGAATAGGGGACGACGCAATACATGTAGATGCCATACAAGATTCGACAATATAGGCCCAGTCAGAGACGAGTGAAAGAAGATCGGCTTCTCGGTCAGGACTAGTCTGACACGTCCACAGAACGTGTTGGGCGGCCAGCCTCGGGCTGAGAGCCTCCGTGACGAAGGATGAGAGCAATGGGCCAGATGGATGAGATAACCCGGCGTTCTCAATGAGCACCAAGGCCTCTTGAACACCTCCCTGAGAATTGGAGGCCATAGATAAAGCGATTGTGAAGCTGCAGTGATGTTGGGCAAAGTTTTCTTCCTCCGCCCGACGTTTGACCACGTGGGGGAATGGTCAGTGCTTTAATAATGGCGATCTCATTGGCTGGCTGGTCAGCAGAAGTACGGAGTCGCATAGCTACAACTGGGAAAAAACTCCACTTTTCGGTCGAACGCCCCAGTTTTATCGTCTACACATACGCCCCCAATAGGAGGAGGTATGTATGTTTGATGTAAGTCCCCGATAGCTTCATATCGTATTCGTAGTAGCTTGTATATATACGAATAGAGTTATAGGCTACCGAGCTACCCCTTCGCGAGCCGGGTATTTTATATAGGTTTATATATAAACGATTTATTACCGTAAAAAACCGGAAAAAAATCGGAAAATTCGGAAATTTACTTACGTAATTAATTAGCTTAATTAGATTAATATATAAACTTTTCGGATTTTTTACTAAGTAATATAAGGAATTATTTAAGATTTAAGGGGTTATAAACCTATATTAATAATTTACTATATAATTTATTAATAAATCTATTAACTATACTTTATATCGGCCTCTTAAGTTATTTCTTTTACGGTAATAAAGTAGGTCTATTACCTAATCCTTTATAATATAGATAAAATAATAATTAAGATTACGTAACTTTTTTTTTTAAATTAATTAAGTCTTAAAAACGTTAATTTTTAGTATTCTTTTTTAGAACCTCTTTATATAAAAAAAGAAGACAGTTAGAAAGGTAAAATTCTTACTATAAAAACAGGTACGATTTTAAAAAGTTTTAACCTTTTTAAAAACGTAGTTTTCTTAAAATAATAAATTAAATAAAAATGAAAATAAAGAATAAAAATAAGATTACTTAATACTAGCCATTTTCTATTTATAAAATAAAGTATTAGGTAATAGACCTACTTCATTACTATAAAAAATTAAGTAAATATATCGATATAAGTATAGTTAATAAGGTTATTAATAAATTATATAGTAAATTATTAATATAGTTTTAAAACCCCTTAAATCGTATATAGTTTCTTATATTACTAAGTAAAAAATCCGAAGAGTTTATATATTAATTTAACTAAGCTAATTAATTACGTAAGCAAATTTCCGATTTTTCCGATTTTTTTTCCGGTTTTTTACGGTGATAAATCGTTTATATATAAACCTATATAAAATACCTACTCGCGAAGGGGTAGTCTAGCTTACCTATTGGCCGACCCAACCAGAGGGTAGCTCCTTCCCTACGTATAATTGAATATTCAACCTGCACCTTCCTACCTACCACACCCCTAGGGTGTACGTACCGAAAAGTGGAGTTTTTTCCCAGTTGTAGCTATGCGACTCCGTACAGAAGAGCGCAACCCTAAATAACACGCCTAGCTCTAGTCGCTCTTTTTCCTTTCCTAGGTAGGAAAATCGGGTTATCTCATGTTAGGTTTTGTCTGCGATCTTGGCGGAAAGAGTTGCTAGCTCATGGAGCGCGAGATAATGGCGGTAGAGGGGGGTTTCTTTTATGCTTCGAAAGCTACCGGGGGAATAGTGACCGACCACTACAATATTTTCCTGTTCTCAAGGGTTTAATCCAGATTAGAATCAAATTTCGTCAGCTTTACTTACCTCCCGCTTCTTTCATATGTCTAGCTTGGAAGATCTCCCAAGACGTGTCCGCCGAATTGGCGCTAAGATCATGGCGCTCGGCCCGAACCGCATGCCGTAGTCCGCACTCTGATTTGCTTTGGGACAGGACGGAGGAGTTGACAAGCCGATCTGCACCACGCTGTATGGTATTAAAAACTGTCGTTTTCCTGCAAATACCTTCGTGGATACTTTAAGGTTATAACCAAAGAACCATGAAATAGTGTCAGGATAGGCCGGAGCGGTAGTACGAGCTCGGACGTAGGGCGGTGAACCATGGTAGTATGTGATGATAACCGTTATCATGTGATACGTGAGAGGAGCCCTTTTCTGCTGTTACCAAAGATGGATTTGCTATTTTCTGATCATATTTTCTTTGCCTTTGGAGGGGCACTGCTTGTCGTAGAGCAGTGAGGGTGGCCTCGGTCGGTACCCAGCCAATCCTGATCGTCTGTCTCTGGACCTCCCGACGCAGCCGATGGTTGTGGACAGACAGCCCTGTCCTTGACGTACAAATAGGCACTAAAATTACTCAAATCCCCCTCAGCGTTGATTTTTCCCACTTAGTATGTGTCAAACTGCGAGATCTAGGTAATATCCTCGTCACCATCTGGGCTCGGGCGGATATTGGATTTCTTTGCGAAAGAGATCGTATTATAGCGGTGGCCTCAAGTATACGATAATGTTGTCATGCACAGCCCAAGATGTCACACTCGTGCTTCGGTGTACTGGCGAGGAAGGCGATTGGACTTTGATTTAGAAACCTAACCAACGCTTCGTCAAGAACGAGTGCCATACAGAGAACATTGCTAAAATTTACCCAGCTTCCTTTAGACTCTATTACGACAAGTCCATTGCTTCGAACGAGATCTGGGTTTGCGCCGAGGAGTTTGTGTCCGGCCTCTGCGTGAGAAGAACGGAGCTCAGGAACTCTACAGCATCATCTATCCCGGCCGGCGAGTTGAACCAATGCCCCCCTTCGGAATATTCCTTCCATACAACCTGTGCCCCAAATCTCCGCAGCGTATCTCGTAAATTCCGACCGCCTTCTACCAATACAAGAAGATCATCGGAACAATGCTCGAGCAATACAGGGGTATTGCGGATAACCTCATCGTTATCAGGGGTGGCTTCCAAGCCAAGCACACTTCTGGTCTCCGTGAGCGTCCTTCCAGGGAACGGCATCCGGCATGAGAAGCCGAGGAAGGCGCCGAGACGACGCATCCCATTTTGACCCGTAGTCAGATTCAGATTCAGGAGCGTGTGCACGTTTGTCGCAGCGCCTTGGCTGATCCCAGCTAACACAAGGCAATCCCACTGGTCGCCTAAGATAGCAGCCTCGCGCTCAAGAATAACCCCCAAGCTCGCAACACTCTCCCGCAGGCCTATCGCTTGCAGGTCTTCTTGCTCCGAGAAGTCGGCAACGTTCCAGATATCGAACCACTGCGTCATTGTCTGCCTGGGAGATGCCGCGCACGCCCGTATCTTGGCCTGTGGGAACACCCAGCGGAAAGAAGGGAAGGTGTCCAGAAGTGTCCGGTTGCGCGAGTCGCGTGAGTGATCTAGTGATGATATGAAGTTTTGGGTATTGTCTCCACGCCCATGCAAGAACACCACCGTGTGTGTATGAGGTACCGTGGGAGGAATTATTCTAACGGAAAGATCCATGGTACAGGATCACGGCGAAATGGGGTCGCGCCGGTGGTCAATCTCAGATGCCGCGTCGAGTCGCGTTTTCATGGACTGCACTGGCACGTCTGGACCGAGATCCCCGTTCGCTGAGGGATGCTCTCCGTGGCTCTGGGGAGGCACTGTGCCTGATGGGATGTTCTTCCCAGCCTCCAGGAACGTTGACACGTATACCCACACCCGTGCTTGCAACAACCTCCGGCAGCTTTCTTGCAAGGCCTTGGAAAGACTCACGCAGAGTGGCGGCCTGCGTCTTAGAAACACCGTCGTTTGTGATGAGGAGCGCGCCAAAGCGTGAAAGAGGGAGGAATTTTCTATCGGCACCTAAGCTGGTTGACAGAAGCCTGTTGGGAGCTACCAGTTCGAGGTGATCTTCCGACTCCGCGCCAACTGCTTTTAGGGAGCAGGTCGCGGGGGCAGCCAAGAACGATTGGCCGTTGTCGGCTGTATGTACGTGTAGTGGAGTTTGTGAGAATCATCCAATAAAGTTGGCAGAGATGGCACCCCGGGCACCTACTATATAGGTTTTTGCTAAGAGCTTGTCAGCATCCCGTGGCGGAGCTGCGACACCCGGACAGCCAGCATGAAGCAGAAGGAGTCACGATAATAAGACCATTGAGGAAAACGATTCCTATTCTGAGCCATCTTATTTAATATCTATTCAATCTTTCGTATCGTAGTATCGTTTATCGGTCGTTGATCTAATTAGTACGTCTGCGATCAGGTCTATAGATATAATAGAGTGTGTATTGGTTACCTTACATATAAATAATACTCATCGGAAAGGCTACGTGGCCTAGTCCCACCACACTGCTACGATAATTAATGTAAATCCTATGTAGAATTAATTATAACAAACCAAAGTACGTAGAGTAATTTGATTTAATTCATCAATCTATATACGATATTATAAAGCTATGATTCTACCCCCTTTCAGTAGGTCGTCCAACCGGGATTTTATACTCCGAATGTTCCTATACAGCTTATATCTATATATTTCTTATTCCGCGAATATCCGCGCTTATTTAGGACTTTTTTGTTGGTAGCTCGCCAGCCCGGCGACCTTACTGCTTTACTCCTATAACCCCTGCTTGATGTTGTCCTTCTGACCTTTGTATTGGCACTGGGGTGCATCCCCGTGTAATGCCAAGTATAAGTAAGACAGTCCTACTCTATGTCATTCTGCTATAGATCAAGGGGCGGCCGGGTTCTCACGGCAGAACAGCCGAGACTGCTACGGCGAAGGACTGTCTGTTAGCCGTGAAGGGACAACCCCATACGTTCCTTGCTGCGAGCAATGTGGAGCTATGGCGGAGGGTAGGAGAGGGTTCTCCATGGCTTCATTTCTTCATTCTGGGGATTGCAGGATAGACGTTACCTATAACGACAGGCTAGACAACTATACTATGCTTAACGAAACAGGCGCTGACACAGGTGGCTATGCGACAATAGAACATACCTGCGGCTATCGCGCCGCGGTCTAACCCTAATAGCTCGTTGACGGTGTTCTTCTAGATAGATAGCAGGTAGCCAACTCTCGACTTTGCCCACTAATAGTCTTCTGATTGTGCGTCAATGTCGACGCAGTCTCAATTCCGATACTCATGCCGGCGCGCTCATGATACTATGGAGATTGGTAGCATATTGTAAAGCTAGCATCCGCGATATATTGTCACAATCATAGAGACGTAGGAACGAGGTTCTCCGAGGAAGGATGCCCCAGCCCAGTAGCCAGCTTATTTGTATATTATTGACGGGTATACAGCGTGACAATCTCTCATTTACATTAGTTATATACGCCGTATCCACAATCACTTTCCCAACGCGACTTCATTCTCCACTTGGTGCATATTGATCTAAGGATAGTATAGGCCTAGTTACCTTTGACAGTTATTAAACCTTGTGCGTTGCGTGCCAATAGTTGGAACAACAATGTAATGATAGAACGAGGCCTAATTCGACCGTGTTTTCTTCCAGTGCAATGGTACCGGTGGAATTGGTTATAACTAAATGTACAAAAGAATCGTATACCATCACCCTTGCGGGAGCACATCTCGTCTATAATATATCCCTAGTCTACGTGTAAGCCAGTATGGGTTTAGACACCTGGTCTTTGATAATAAATGGCCACCCCTATGCAGGTATACTCCTTTAAAGAGCCGCCGCAAGTGGTGTACTAAGGGTATTTAGTGGGAAGGCCGTTGTTGAAGCTGAAGCGGTGACTCGGATCCCAGGTCTTCTTCAGCTTTGCCAGGCGTGGCAACTTCTCCTTCCCGTAGATTTGCTCTATCTTCTCGTCGCCGCGCGCATAATTGAGGAAAACAGAGAGCTCGGGATAGCCAGACGTGGCTGCGAGGTCTCTGCGGAGCTCCTGTCCCAGAGCCATCGCCGCCGTGGCCGTCTCGTCGTCTCCCTCGTCCCATAGCATGTTGGGGTTGCTACTGCCTGTCAGTCTTTTGTTTGAACGAGCGAACAGATTTGGAGGAGGAGGCTCCTTACATGTATCCAGTTGCGTCTCTCCAAGGCCATGCGGTCTCCTCCTGGGCCACAGCCGCCATGGCCTGGTTTGGGAAGAACTCGAACTGGAGGATACTGTTCCGGCCGCCGGGGTACTGCTCAAAGAACTCAGCCATCTTACCAAATGACTCCTGGTAGCTGGCTGCAGAATAGCTCTTCAAATTCAGGCTGTAAAGATCCCGGATAATGTTCCCTTGGCAAACAGACTCGACGATACCGCCAAAAGTTTCGGCCACGATCCTGTTGTATTTGAGAACCTCGATGCTCGAGACGGGGGGATTGAGGTCGGTGAATGGCTTTAGAGCTCTCCGTCCCTCTTCCTCTGGCCCCAAGTATACCCAATTCACAGACAATTGGGTCTAACAGTAGAGATTAGTCTCACGATGCGCTGGAAAAGCCTTGATTCAAGGTAATGGCCACATACCTCGTTCGTGGTCGAGTTCCAGCCTATGATTGAAATTGAGGCCAGCTCCGCGGGCAGCCTATCATTCAGAGACTGTACAGTCTCGAAAAAGTCGAGACTCTGGTTGGCCGGGAAGATGAACTCCGCCATCAAGACATCGCCGTTGTTAGCCAGGGGTTGCACCTGGTAAGTAGCGGAGGTAACGATGCCGAAGTTTGCCCCTGCTCCCCTGAGTCCCCAGAATAAATCTGAATACGATTCCTTGGACACCTCGATCAGATCTCCCTTGGCCGTAACCATGTTCACAGAAAGCAGCGCGTCTAAAACCAGGCCGTAGACACCCTGAAAGCGCCCAACACCACCACCGAGGGTGACACCGATCAAACTAGGGCACGGGCAAGTGCCAGTTTCTAATTTATAACAGAAACGGTTAGCTGTGATAACTACTGTTAAGCATAGCAGTGGGTAACTCACGGATTTCGAACCCAGCTTCGTACAAGGGATCGAAGACTTCGCCGATGGTGATGCCGGCCCCGACAGTGATAGTCTGAGCAGTTGTGTTCAACTCAAGCCTCTTCAACTGGCTTAGGTCGATCGCTAAGCCATTCTGTAGGTCTCCTAGGGTAGTAGTATACCCGTGGCGCCCCCCTGATGCAAGGAATGGAATGTTTCGAGATGTCGCAAGTTTTACCCGCAGTACAGTTAGCTCTATGGGGTTCGGGGGCGAGCTCCTCCTCATGTTAACCTAGTTTACATACAACTTGTCTGACATCTTGCTCGGACGCCGGGCTAACGGCAGCAGTATAGCTTGGTGGCCGAAACACCGTCCATCGCTCCGTAGCGTTGAGAAACTCATCAGAGCCTTGAAACGAGATTACCGTATCGCTTGCCCAAGATATGGACGGGTCCGTTAGGATAGGTCTCAGATCGGTGAGATTGCTACTGAGCGCCTCGATTCCACCGACTGAAAATGCGAGCCCGAGGAGCACCGGGGTCAGCTTCGAGGCCGCAAAGGCCTTTTTATAGGCCATGTTGAGAAGTACGTCGAGCGAACACTAGGGCTAGTCAACGAAGATGATTGCCTGCGTGTATTTCTTGCGATGAATAGCGATAGGGAGCTGAGACGACGAGTCCGCATTATATATCTATTCCTCAACCCCAAAGCGACTCTTGAAGACGGCTCCGCCTCCCGCCCATCGACAGGAAAATGCCCCTAAGTAGCATCGATAGTCCCATGACAGGAGGTTCGCCTCACATTCCTTCAGCTAATCGCCACCAAAGCCTGCCTTGCCGCTCGAGTGGGCCCAGGAAAAGCTCGGCAAGAAACATATCACGATTCTTACAATCGCGGTCAGGTCCAACACCAGGTATCCCTAGGTGGACTTAACGAACACGCGAGCGGCGCAGAGCTCTGCCACAAACGGGCCAGGACAGCCGTTCACATAAGCTGACCATGGGGCTCAGAATCGAGGGTATTGAGCACCTAAAAATAGGACATGATTTTCCATCGCACGTGCCGGGGCTACAGCTGAGGCGCTAGCTGAGGTTCTCGTCCCCACAAGACCGACGGTGCGTTAGGGAGCACTGCTGAACGTTCGGTGTAGGCCGTAGTTCATGGCTATTCCAAGGCCGCCACGGACGTCTCGGTCTCCCATAACTTGACGGAAGTGCATCTTGACCCTCAATAATAATCACGCCGAGTACGTCAGACGAGTCATAACACGGATATTCTCCCGCAATCCATCGTTCTATCGTTTTTTTCCACACTAGCTCAAAATTTTATGTGCCCTAGTTCCAGCGATGACTACCAGGGGTCCGAATCCACCACAGCGATCTCGATGGTGTGGGTTTTCAGGGTTAGTACGCCGCAGGAACAGGTACTTGCACGTGAGGGAAAGGCATAGAGCAGAAAGTTCGCTGTTTTTCGTAGACAGTCCCGCTCTGGTCGATGACAAGCCAGGGTATGCTAATAGAAAGGCTTATCTCAACCTTCTTGTCACTGAAAAGCGGGCGTATAAAGACCAAAGATCCGAGTAGCCCGTGTTTCATTTTCATCCTCGGCAATGCTTGCTGGGTGTCCGTGGACGTGGAGGTTCCATGTGTGCCACTATTAGGGTACGAAAGATCTTAGTTTCTTAAGAGATGTTATTCGGATTGCATGCGCTTGCCCCTACGGCTTATTTGTGCGATATTACCCGGTAACTTCCTATTCCCTACTCATATTTCGACATGACTAGACATAATGACAGAGAACGTTCAAAGTGAACGTCATGCTTCCGGGTCTTCTCTACGAGGCACATAGAGTGCTTATTTCAGCGATAAAGGCTTACAAGCGTCTTACTACATGGTGAACCGAAAATAACTCTCGAGATATCATTATTCAGCAAAGGGGTTGTCCTCGACCAAAGTTCCAATTTGACAGAAGCTCTTTTCATTTGTTCGGTTTCTTGCCCCTCGTAACCGCTCAGTATTAACATGTCTTTTCTATCCTATGTCCTCCTATGTAGTTTGAAATAGTAGTTAGTGCGTAATAACGTTTAATAATAACCAAGAGATAAAAAGTATTTCCGACATGGAAGTGCAGACGCGTATATTCTACTTTGGATATATGTGTCGTTAGAAGCGTTGTTTATCGGACGTACTTGTAAGCAAAATGGCGGCAACACTCACGTCCGTCTAGGTGTGCGGTCGAGGAACAGGATTAGATAGGCTTCATAGGCAGGTACTACTTTGAAATCAGCCACCTCAGCCTTACTCGGGGAGGGAGACTCGCATTGATCCGATCACTACAGGGGTATCGGTAAATAAAACCACGAGGATGATCGGATCTCAAGTTAAGCTGACTAGCACCCCCCTTCACTATTGGTTATAAGCTCAAATCATGACGCTGCGGGTTGTCCTTGAGGGATATACAGAAACTAAGAGGAGCTTTCTCGGTGTCCTACCCGACGCACAACGTTGACGCCCCCGCGCCCCCCCTCCAAATGAACAGCTTCTCGACCCATCCAGCGTGGTTCTATGCAAGGGCCGGAATAGCAGCTCTTAGTAGAGTACCTGTAGATTGTAGATGCCCCCCGCCCCCCTGGTTACGAGATAGTCGATACCCTTCTGCTACTTCTTGATGCTATACTCAGGGTACGTTTCACGATACCTGCCAGGCGGAAAATGTCAGTGATCGAACAGGGGTATGTGTGTGCGGTGGCTCCCTTACCCTAGAAGGAACCGGCCTATCCAATAAGCGCACACGTACTGGGTCAGCTTAAGAGACCAAATCGGCATCCAGAAAGGGGGAAGAACGAAGATAGTGTCGCTAAGGCAGCCAAATAATGCCATCTGGAAGATAGAAGGCTCAATACTCGACATTTGACAATCTCGGAGGTAACCTAGAGCGTTCCGGAGGTAGTTCTCATCGAATCCTCGGTCGACTTCTTCGGGTTGGGCATAAACCTTGAAGATAAGATCTTCCTTCCCAGGGTGCGCCCAAAAACGATGCCTATAGCTCTCTAGTCAGCCAGCCTAGAGCATCCGCCACACACACCAAGGTCTAAAGCGGGATTCGCCAAGACTTACCGCGTGCTGGGAGCTATCGCCACGGTCCCATCATCCTGGGTGAGAACATGGGTTTTGCCATCTCTCACCACGGCCAGCGCTCCCTGCAGAACCTCGAAGTACTCGGTCTGTCGTAGGTGAATGTGTCTATCCGGGTGGTAAGCTTAGGTGACGTCGACGACGCCGAAAGCGCAGAGGGCATAGCAAGGGCCTTACAGGGGCGGACCTGAAAGCCCATCCTGAACAGCCTGATTTTCTGCGTAGTGCGTTTCCTTTACCACGAAGCGGCGATCATCCTCGTAAAGAAACTCATACAGGGCGGCGTCATTTGGGGAGAGCACGCGGGGCTCGCAGGGGGTAGGTGTGCGTCGTGAGGGGCGCGGTGAGAGCCAGAGCTGCCAACCCCACGCCATGAGGATTCTAGCACCAGATCAAGGGTACAAGACACGGATAAAAAGTACATAGGATTCTGACGACAGGGCATGGGAAGTATAAGATGTGCTTTGGCATACCGAATCCTCCAGTATCACCATGACTCGGCCTAGCCTATATAGGCAGCGCAAGGAGTCGAATTCTCGTCTCGTACCAGGCTTACAAAAGGCAGAAGACGATCGCAGGAGGCTATATACATCCTGACAAATGCGCTCTCGCCCTCAAGGAGTGGCATGATGAGCACCACAAGCAAACCCGAGGACTCGGGGTCTCGAACTACGCCGCGAGTGAAAGAAAGCAATGCTAACCCAGAAAACAAGCGTAAGACGGGTCTACCGTGGATGCCGATTCACTAACTATATTAAATGCTACGCTACCGTCCCGAGATGGCGTCGAATACCTGCTGCGGAATGTGTGTCGGGCGCCGCTAGATATAGCAGTGTTTGTATCCCGCCTTGGCTTACCTGCCAGAAGCCAGGGATATCTTGATGTATTGCTAGGTACTGCCGAACCTCTCCGTTCTACCCCCTGGCTTCGCACCCTGGACTGCATATGTGCATGACTTCTGCTTCACTTACGTACGTCGGGATCCAGGTCCACCACATCCCGGGTTTGCAGCTGACGGTGAGGTCGTCTACCTGGAGGGGGGTAAGGGGGGGGGGGGGGGCATGGCGCAGCGTTCCATCGCAGCCGAACTCTCCGCGAATGGCTGGAGAGAAAATCTGGCGCACTACAACGCGTCACGGTGCCAGGTGGAAATGTCGGGGATTCCTCTGTGGATCCGATCGCCTTCGCTTACACCAAGAGAGGAACTACTTCGAGGGGTGAGATCAAGCGACGTGCACATACCAATTCGCGCAACACGGCGTCCTCTATCATACGGCGACGTGTAACGAGGGTCCATGGACATCTGAACGCTGAGTGCTACGGCAGAGGCACAAATGGAGTCCTGAACACTGGTAGCACGGTACTGCAATGGAGAGACATCATCGTATCATGCGGGTTCCCGGTTAGACAGTCGCGATATATCATGTGGTACGGAAGAGAGAAGCGAAAAATATCGATGTGCTATTTAGATTGCGACAGGCCGTCGATGATATCCCTCACCCCCGCGAACGCAAGCTCGTCTAAGGTTTCCTCGTAGAGCTGCTTTGCGACGCGCTGGCCTTCGGGGGTGTAGACGAATGGCGCCATCCTGTGAGTGTCCGGGAGGCCCACGTTAGTAGTTGCATTTGAGCCCGGTTCGCCCGCCGCCGCAACTGGGTGGGAAGAGGGGGAAGGGGAGGGGGGGTGACAACTTACGGCTGGACCTTGCCGTCCTCGACGTACTGGCCGTGGGCGGCAGCGCGCAGCGTGGTGGCGGCGGCGACGAACGTGCGCGCGCCGACGGCGCAGGTGCGCGCGAGCACGCTGCACTGGACGCGGTAGGCGAGCCAGAAGAGGCCGCTGGTCTCGCGGCCGAGGTCGGACCCGCGGCAGAAGCCCGGGTTCGGCAGCGAGACGGCGACGTCGGCGGCGGGGACGCGCCGCGCGAGCTCCGCGACGAACAGCTGCGCCAGCAGCTTCGTCGTGCCGTAGCGCTCGCCGCTGTCCCAGCGCGGCATCGGCTGCTTGAACGCGGCGAGCACCGGCCGCGCGCCCCGCTCCTCGAACCGCGCCCACGCCGCCTGGTCCGACGACACCAGCGCGATGTGGCCCGGCCCGGCGCCGCCCGTCTTCTTCGCCCGGATGATCGGCGCCAGCAGCAGCGCCAGCAGCACGTTCGACAGGTAGTTCACCTGCACGCCCTCCTCGTAGCCGGTCGGGCCGAAGGTCTCGGCCGCCTTGTAGAGCCCCGCGTTGAGGATGGCGATGTCGAGGTGCTCAAGGCCGCGAGCGCGCTCGGCGAAGCGCGTCACCGAGTCGTACGATGCGAGGTCCAGCTTCCAGACCTCGGCCATGTCTGGCGAGATATCGCGGCCCTCGGTGATCTCCCTCCGCGCCCTCTCGCCCCGCGACTGGTCGCGCACGGCGATGATGACTTTGCATCCCAGGTCCAGCAGCTGCCGCGCCGCTTCCAGCCCCAGTCCTACGCTGGCCCCCGTGACTATGGCCGTCTTCCCGCTCAGGTCCACGTCGCGCGGTGAGACCTGCGGCGCCGCAACGAAGAACTGCCGATAGAAGTAATGTAGTAGAGATGCCCGCCTCTCAGGCGTGACGTCAAATTCCGTCGACATGGTGGGGATCACTAGATGCGGTCGTATTAGCAGGGGGCAGGGGAGTAGAAAGACAACAACGACAGGCAACAGGACAAGCGAAACTGTCACGAGATGAACTCGATATTTTCCCTGCCAACGGGCTTAAGTACCTTCATCCCTTACTCTAATATCATTATAACACCCTTATAATACCATTATTAATTCAATCCCCCGCTTTTCCCGGTGACGGTCTGTAACTAATCATAACAAACACTCTTGGCAAATATGCCTTTGTGAAGCGCCCAGCCTCGATACGCTTATCCGGCTTTGTTTGGCAGCACACATACACAGGCATGGACAGGGGTTGTGAGACGGATCTATCTCCACTCGGTCCTAAGCTTCCCTCCTCCTCTACCCCCATACCTAGCTTTATATCCTGGGGGGTTGCGTCACGACGGAACTTTCAATAGAGATGACTCGCTCGAGAGTCACACTTGTTTGTCAAGACCCCTGGTAACTAGGGATGGGTGGGAGTTGCAAAGAAATTACAGCTGGGAGGACAGGAATAACACTAGTTTCAAGGCTTTTACTATAGTAATACAACGCCTTATTCAAACAGAACCAATACATAAGGATCAAGAAAAATTCTCCCCACCCAATGAGCATGGCCACCAGCGGTGGACAGTAGGTTGGCTTCGAGTAGATGACTGGCGTTAGCCGGCGCGAAGAAATATCAAACGAACGTAGGCATGATCGAACAACAGCCGATTATGGAGCTGAGCTTGTCCCAATAATTGATTTCGCCGTCTGACAGGTCCTCCTGGGCCCAGATGGCCTGTATAAGGAGCCTGACAAAATTGAACGACCGCGAGGAAACCTTTTTTTCCGTTCTCGCGATAAGGTCGAGCACGACGGCCCGCTGCTCGTCTGTCCTAGCTTCGCAGCCTAGGATAAATACGGGGAACTGCCGCTCGCATGAGCTGAGCTGGGTGAATATGGAGAAGCCTCTGTCGATCTGCTGCTGGGTCTTGGCCGCCTGGCCGAGCAAGTCTCCCGTCGCTCGGTTCAGATAAACCAACATGGCCAGCTGATAGAGCTCGTCGAGCAGTGCTGCGCTGGCGTCGCCGGCCACGGTCGAGATCGGGAGACACCTAATTCTCCAGTCCAGCACCTTTAGGAAGCTTCTGTAATCATCCAAGTTTTCGACAGCCCCCGTATCCGGGGGCCGCGCAGATACTGCATCGCAGACTGCCGACAGCAAGCCCAAAGCCGGAAACGAGAGCGATGGTGTGGTATCGAAAATCTAATGAGACGTCAGAGCTGGCTACCGAGTCACATAATAGCTCTGCATGCTTACCTCAGTGCACACGCTCGAGGACGGAGATTCGGTTGACGCAGGCGACGAAGCCCTCATCGATTCCTGCCCTTGCCAGTGCCGCAGGGTGAAGCGAGCCAGCACATCGTGGTAGCTCACCCAGTCCAACACGACAGCCATGTCCTTATCCTGATGCAGGTCGCTCAGGTGGGCAGCGTTGATCACTTCCTTAACACCACGGATGTACCAAGCCCACTGCCCCGAGGTGCAAGACGCCTGGTGGATCTATTGGACAGGGTCAGCGGTGTCTTCCCCAGGTGGGTGGCGGCGGCGTCGATACTTGCCTCGAACGAACACAGAAGCATCCCGGCAGCAACGTGCTGGATGGCTTCCATGGTGCCGATCTGGTCGGCCGACACGGAGGATAGCGCCTTGAGGGCGGAGATCTTGAGCTCCACGGCCTGCGCCTGAACACCATGGCGATGCAGCGAGGCCAGCGCCAGCAACGAATGTAGAACCGCGGTAGCGGAAGGCGTGTTGCTGGCTAGAGCAATGCGCGTCAGCACGTTTCCCAGGCTATGGGGATCGTAGCCAAAGGTGGCCAGCGAGTGGGAGGCGGCGTATTGGACTAGGATCGGTCAGTTATCTACGTTACATCAATACAGGCAATCATATAGGCAGAACGCACAGTACTGGAACAGGTCTTTGTTCCCAACCTGCAGCTTGAACGGACTCCAGCAGACGGGTATGCGAAGAGTTGGCCGGTCACGCCCTACAAATCTGGTTAACACGAGCGGCGGCTCCTCGTGCCAGCAAGCGGCTCGCTCACCTTTGAGCGCCGACCTCGTCAAGTGGTAATGCATCTGGACATCCCAGAACGAGACGTGCACCAGGCGCGCGTCCGAGATGGGGCGGCCACCGCCCTTGTGAGATGGCGACTTGCCAACAATGGCTCGTCTGCCATCGCCCGCATGTGGCCACGACAATCGGAGCCGCTTAGGCCGGAGGCGCTTCGCGCCAACCGGGGTGACGTGCCCGTCGGGGACTGAGCTGTCTGAAATCAACGCCATGATGTAGAGGCTTCCGCAGCCTAAACTGCCAACACGCTCTGCGGGCGGATGAATCCGATACGGCTGGGTGGGAGGGGGGAGATGGGGAGGAAGGGGGTGAGATGATAGGCGGGTCACGTGGAGGGAATATTACGAGTGCCTCGGCGGAGAGCGGCACAATGGCGCGAAAGAGGGCGTTCACAGAGAGGGCATCTCGAGCTCCAGGACTCTATGTACTGAGCTCCGAGAGGAATCTGACGATGGCGTGGAAGCGAGGCTGCTTATTCAGACGACGACGGAGATTCGCCCACCTTCGGCCGAGCCTTACGTCCAAGCCCCTGAGGGAAACGATTCGAAGTACCGAAGTATCGAAGTACCGAAGTACCCACACTTTTAAAGTTGCCCGTTTTCCCAGACCCACGTTACACTGCATTGCGCGCGCTAGTCTAGTGCCGGATATTGCCGGGGGTGGCCTCTGGCATTGGCGGGCAGCGCCGCCGGGGGGCATCTCCGGGGTACGTAGCGATCGGGCGTCTACCTCGGGTCCTCTACCACTGTTACTACTACATACCTCCTATGCCCCCCATACGATTCCGTCTCGCTATCCCTTCTTCTTCTCCTTCTTCTCCATCTTACTTGCTTACCTCCTGCTGTGTCAGCCCTTCTGGCCGAGTCTATGCACAGATCGCAATCGTCTCCCTGGCCCCTCGGACATTGGTACCGTATTCCGATTCATGCACGCATGAGCCTGGAGGGTGGGTATGGGGTATGGATGTGGTAGATGCTGGTACGACGATAAGAGAGAGACGGAGATAGAGACGTAGCACGGCGCGAGAGGAGTGTTGTATTCGGTATCGTGTAGAGGGAACGGGAGAGGGGGCAATGGTCACCCGGAACCCAACTCCGACAAGCGACACCGACTCGCCCGTGCAGGCGTATGAGATGGTGGCGGCGCTGAGGGATACTACCAATAGGCAATTCTCGAGACTCTCGAGAAGAGGAGAGGCAGGGCCACTACGCAGTCGTGGGCACAGGAACGCCACGCTTCAAGGACCTATCCATGCGTTCCGCGTGTTAGGTACGGAGGCAGGGCGTTCGCGGAGCCATGGCGTCCGTTGCTTGGAAATACGCAGTTCTCCTATCTGGCGTAAGCCCACAGCCTTATGCGCAGCAACTCTCGGTGTGTACCGATCCATTCAATGCCGAACCGGGATGGGAGGAACATGTAGTCACAATTCGTCCCTTGCGGCCAGGGATAGTGGGCACATGACATCGTATCGTCGGGGCTTGCCGGCTTGGCTGCAAACTAGGAGGATATTCCAGCAGAGGGATGTGATTATCATGTTGGTAACTCCCAGGATCTGACTGTTGGTAATTCCACCGGTATGACATCGCGCCCATCCCGATCCCATAGGACAGGAATAGGCTCTACCGCGATCCGCTTATCTCACTCAGAGTAATAGAACTAGGCGGTGGACGGGCGGGGTATCCATAGTCTTCCCTCCGAAATGCATACCAAGATTTCGCCATGGCACGCCTCTGCCCGGAACTGCACAATGGCAAACGAATGGAAAACGTGTGTAAATGTATACATCTCGTCTTAGGAATATCCGAGTTCAAAATAAATCTTGGGGTCATTACCTACCCTTCGTGTCTCTACAGCCATTTTGGTCTACCTCATTTTCGCATTGCAGATGCTACAATGCCGATTACGGGGGTATTGTTATAGGTCGCATACGCACCGAAGTAGGATGCGGGCGATAAGCATGACTTGGTCTACTAGAGGCGATAGTAGCGTCAGCACAGGACTCGTAACCCTCGCTTCCCTAAGCGGAAGGCTTTCTGTTACGACACCGCTTTGGATAATACCCAACTTATGGAATCACGGCGCCAACAACGATCTAGGACGCCACTTGCTTACGGCTTACCTATCGAACCGTGGCACAGCGCACCGAGCAGGATACTGCGTATCAGTCGTAAGCCGTTAGACTGAGAGATAATAATGCTGCAATGGAGTCGTATGGTGTTGCCGTGATTCCCACACCGTCACGTGAAAGCAAAACATAGAGGCATGCATTTCCGCGTCGGAGTATGTACTTGGGCTTAAAAACGTGATTTTTCCTTTTCTGCGCGGTCAAATTTGCACATTTACAATAGCCGCGAAACAGGCCTACGGAAAGGCTGCCGTGATTTACTATATCCCACGCCTTCCACTGCCCTGAAACACAAAAAGTTCCTTGGAGAAGAGAACCTTCTCCGGAGTTTCTCGACGGGATAGGCATGTAATGCTGCTTCTGGACTAGGGGAACTGTGCGTGATATTATCATAATCGGCCTCAATAACATTCTTACTGCTTGGGTCATACTCGGGCTTTGAGCTGTGCCTTTAAAATATATGGCGTAACAGCCTTTTATACAAAGAATCAACCCGCTTGGCTCCTTTTGTGCAAGAGTAGGCGGTACTGTTTATTGTCGCATACACTGCACCTTACGGAATAAAACCTCCGTATAAGGACAAAGTCACTTATAGTTCTGACAGTTGCAACGGATGGAACGAGGATAACCACATTTTCCTCGGCTGCTCAGTTTCGGGTACTAAATCTATTGGTTCCCTTCGAATCGTCGTCATGCTTCTCCTCAGCCACGCATACTACGTCGTTGTCGGCGTCGCGTTTTTTGCCGTCCTATTATGGAGGCTCCGGAAGATAGGGCAAAGACCCAAGGGGTATCCCCCAGGGCCGCCCACGCTCCCTTTTATCGGAAATCTGCACCAGATACCTGGCGAGAAGCGATACTTGCAATTTGAGAAATGGGCGCGGGAGTATGGCCCGATATACTCGCTTATGCTGGGCACCAAGGTCATGGTCGTCCTAAATTCGGATGTCGCGATCAAAGACTTGATAGATAAGCGCGGCGCCATCTACGCTTCCAGGCCAGAGGCCTACGTCGCTCAGGATATCCTAAGCGGCGGCCTGCGGGTTCTGTTCATGGTATGTCATCGTTAGTTGCGCCACCTGTCCACACCTCGCTGCCGATAAACCCGGAGAGAGGAGGGGGGCGGCGCGAAAGATACAATGCGTGCGTGGGACTAACCATCAGGTCCCAGCCAAATTCCGGAGTCTGGAAAACCGCCCGGAAGTTCGTTCATCGTATCCTGGGCGTTACCGCCGCGCGAAGCTATGTGCCTTATCAGGACCTTGAAAACAAGGCGATGCTGTTAGGCTTTCTGGAAAGTCCTTGTGATTTCACCGATCACCTGCGACGGTACACAGCCTCGTTAACCACCCAGATGACGTTTGGCTTCCGCACTACGAGCATCCACGACCAAAGATTCAAGGAGACCTTTGACGTATGTGCAAAGAGTGTCGTGTTGAGACAGACAGGCCACTAATATCACTCTCAGATTTTCGACCGCAGCGGCGAACTCATCGCATCTCGGGTCTGTTCAGGGAGCCATACGTTCATGGGAGCCTGTCGCTAATCTGACTCATATCTTAGACGGCTGCAATATTGGATCTGGTGCCTGTATTGAGACGCCTCCCCGAGTTTCTACTCCCCATCAAAAAAGAGGGACGGGAGATACACGAAAGAGAGAAAGCGCTATTCCGTAGCCACTATCTCAAAGCCAAGCAGGGTTTGCAAGATGGGACAGCCAAGGTAGGAAAGGGCATGACAGGACAAATCGCGATGAATCTAACTTGAAACACGCATAGCCTTGTGTTTGCGTTGACCTGGTTAAGATCCAAAAGGCCGAAGGTCTTTCCGACGATTCCGCTGCCTACATCAGCGGCTCGCTACTGCAAGCTGGCGCTGAGACGACGGCAGGCATCCTAGTAGGCTTTATCCAGGCGATGCTCATCTTCCCCGACGTAGCCAAGGCGGCTCAGGTTGAGCTTGATCGGGTTTGCGGGGATCGGATGCCCGATCTGAATGACGTACCTAACCTGCCTTATATCCGGGCATGTGCTAAGGAGAGTCTGCGTTGGATGCCCGGATTCATGCTAGGCATACCGCACGCCGTCACCCAAGATGATACCTATATGGGCTATCACATCCCGAAGGGTGCTACAGTTGTGTTGAATGTCTGGTGAGCGGCACTACATATCGATATCAAGTCAAGGCATCACGACACTTGCTCAGCTATGTTTCTAACTGCTATTTCCTCCCAGGGCGGTGCATAACGATCAGGCGAGGCATCCAGACCCGCGTAGGTTCGAGCCTATGCGGTATATCAACGATCACCAGCTGTCGATAGAAGCAGCAAATAACCCGGACCCAACGAAGCGCGACCACTTCGTCTTCGGCGCCGGTAGACGACGATGTCTAGGCATGCACATTGCCGACCGATCTGTGTTTCTGGCGATCTCTCGCCTTCTGTGGGCGTTTAACTTTGAGAGGGTAGTGGATCCCGAAACGCGCGAGGAGGTAATCCCCGACATGAACGATATGATGGACGGCCTGATGGCGCTTCCCAACGCGTTCCCGGCAAAGATCGTTCCCAGAAGCGCCGCCAAGGCGCAGTGCGTGAGAGACGAGTGGGCCGACGTATCACAGCTGCTTGATGAGGAGGCACAGTGGAAGACGGTTCCCGAGGGGCTCATCTGGAAGGACGAGCAGGTCGATGAACTCATCGAGTGAACTGTAGCCTAATGCGTTGTCAGTAATGGTGCATAGCACACTCTATCGTTGGCTAAGATAAGACGTGGGACAGGAAAGAATTACAGGAACAAGATCCTAAGAGAAACGTGCATATCCATTCAATGCCATTGACAACCTCTGGTACTGAAGGAATCTGCTCGGAAAATATGGTTTCTTCTACGCGATGGTGTTAACATTAAGTCCATGTTTCAATCTGCTAACACCTGGACTTTCCGGCTCTTCCACCATAACGTAGGTAGCGGGTCAACTGAGTCTCCTGGCCATACGAGGGGCTCCATATCAACCGAAGTATAATAATCCGCAGTGATGGACCCTCCTGGTCCTATGCCGTGAATATCTCGCGGAGTTAATACATATCCACCGAATCGACACCGGGAGGGGTGCTGTGCATATTATTGTGTCTAAAGCGCTCTCTTAGCCACCTCCATCTTACTTATGAGAAAGGACGTTATATATCAGCTCGGATAATACTCTCCCCCCTCTGCAGCAAGACAACCCGCGTTCCTACTTTATATCGTCACGGGTACGCATGAGCTGCTTATTTTCTCTGATCAATAATACAGGTGTGTCGGTCAGCAAACCGACAACCTTGCATCCACGGGAAAATCTGGATATTAATAGACTTGGGGCGTGCGCTGTGACGTGAGCTACGAAGGCACGCGCCGTTTTATAGCATTGAACTTGGCAGTACGGTTATGAATCCTAGCACACATAGGTCCCACAACTATGTACCTACCTATATACAAGTTCGTAAGTAACGGGTAGATCCTGATAAAGATGGGTGATGGCCCTCAGGGTGACGCTACGCACATAAGCAGTGGTTCTTGATCCTATCGTATCTCGAGGGAGAGGGGGAGGGGTGGACGGTGGAGATCGATCCTGGCGGAGCGTAAAAACATAATGGTATTTGGGTCGGCGTGCGGGTCAAGGCGGATATGTAGATGATGCAGGGATGACATGTAATAACCCGGTTATCCGGCGTGGATTGCTATTGGTCGCCTTCCTCTCAGCTCAAGTTGAAAAACGGCCTGTCGATGCATAGTCGGTCCTGGTCGAGCTCGAGAAAGTAATGTTTACGCCACGCTAGCCCATGCGGCCTCAAGCTAGATAATGGAATCCGCATCACTCGGCGTATTGGTGTCACAGGAAGAAGAACGGCTGGTTATACGACATCATTTTGTGCGTACCCCTGTAAAAAGGGTGCGAGGCCCGTTTCTGGCACGTGCCAGCCATGCGGTGGGATAATATTTCCCACTTGTGCCCCTCGTGGCATGGATTCTGGCCCTGGCCGTGAGCTTCATGGTGCGTGTATTATGCCGGTTCCTACACGCCTCAGCTCCCAAAGAGGTTCAGTCCGTTCTCTAAAATCGAATCATGGCTTGGGCGCGTCTTACCGGCCGCGGCTGAGTCGAGGGCACAGGCAGAATCTCAGCCCTAGTAGAGCTGAGGATTAAGTAAGTAGTATTTTCGCTCATGCTATGACGCATGAAGACTCTGATGTAACCCCCCACCATCTTCTAGTAAAAGTGGCGCAAGCTGATCAGATGCAGGTCCCTAGTTCTATTACACCTGAGGGGCAACGGCGCAATCGCCCGAACGAAGCTCATCCGTGCCATCGTGGATTGTCAGGCATTCGGATCTTCGGGATGGTTGGAGGGAGGAACGTAAGGGGGAGCGGATGGCACAGCTGAGCCACTATAAGAGTTGATGATTTTCGATCGTCATCCTAGGTCGTGGGAGCAGCATCTAGCTTCACTATCGCTCGCAAGTAGAACCATCCAGAAGCTATCGCGATCATGGGTGCGTCTCTTCGCCGCGTCGTCGGTAGCCTTCCGCTACTCCTAGCAACGGTCGCTAGCTCACCCTTGCCCCTCGGGCAGGTGCCCCATTATTTCCAGAATTCCCCCTTCTCACGTCGTCAGTTGCCGGTCACGCAGGTCCAGAAAGAGCTAGGTGAGCTCGTATCGGAAGGTTCTCTCATATTCGGGCCCGAGGACCCGGCGTGGACCGAGGCGACCGAGAGATGGAACATCCTGGCACCGCCTACTATCCAGGTTGTAGTCCAACCGGCACAGGAATCGGACATCCCCGCTATCGTTAGTGCTCTCGCAAGCCCCGGTGTGAGGTCCTTGAGTTAACAGGAAGCTTAGGTCAAATACTGCAACGTCAATAACATCAAGTACCTGGCGAGGAACCGTGGCCATGGCCTGACTACCTCATTAGGTAAATTCGAGGGCCTGGAAATTGACTTCGCCCAGCTGAGGGGGATCACCATCAAAAACGGGGGCAAGTCCGCTGTGTTCCAGGGCGGAACTTACGGGGGATTGGTGATAGAGACGCTTTGGGACCAAGGCTATGTCGCGAGTGAGTATATAAGTACTTATTCAGGATAGGAGGCCGCTGACCATATTGGACTGTTAGCCACCGGGTCCAACGAATGCGTGGGTTTAACGGGACCTGCTCTGGGTGGCGGTCACGGCCGTCTGGAGGGCCTTTACGGCCTGGTCTCCGACAACATCATCCACCTGAATGTCGTATTGGCGGATGGCTCCGCAATCGGCGTAAATGCCTCAAGCCATTCTGACTTGTACTGGGCGATGCAGGGTGCTGGCCACAATTTCGGTATCGTTACGAGTCTCGAGATGAAGATTTACCCTCGCGAGGTCGAGACGTGGCACTACCACAACTACATCTGGACTGGTGACAAACTCGAGACAGTATTTGAGGAGCTCAACAAATTCCATGGCAATGGCGACACGCCAGCCCGCATGGGTGTCAACTTTGGCCAGATCTCCATCAATACGACGATTAGCGAGACCGAGGTACGTAAGCTTTCTACGACGGATCTACTCGCGAAACTAACCCGTGGGACTTGGTGGGGTGGATCGCAGGCCGTTCTATGGTGGTCCTTTGTCTACGCTGGATCCGCTGAAGACGCCGAGAGGCTTTTGGCTCCTTTCAATGCGATCGGGGCCGTGGATGAGCAGATTGGCGACGTCCCCTACCCCGAAATCCCCGGCGTTCAGGGCACCGACGCCGCCGGCGGGTCTTGCAACTCCAACGTGTACGCCGTTGGCACCGTCCTCACAAAATCCTACAACGCCACGACGGAGCGAGAACTGTACGAGCATTTCAACCAGCAGATTGCTCTGTACCCGGAGTTGATCCCGACCGCCCGCCTCTACCACGAGGGCTACGCGACCAAGGCGGCCCAAGAAGTGAACCCGGCTCTGTCCGCGTACCCGCACCGCGACGAAATCCATCTCATGTAGGTCGTCGCAGTCTCGCCCGTGTCTAGGAAAGCAATTGCCCTGGCTAACAATCACCCTCGGTCAAGGTTCTTCTTCGCCGCCGTCCCTCAGGGGTCTGACCTGTTGGCCCCCGCTCAAGCCTGGGCCCGCCACGCCTGGGACTCGTGGAATGCGGGCGAGCCGGGGCGCAGGCCCGCGACTTACGTCAACTACGCGGCAGGGCTCGAGTACGAGACCCTCGAGGCCATCTACGGCTACGAGCCCTGGCGCCTGGACAGGCTCCGCAAGCTCAAAGCCAAATACGATCCCACCAACAGCTTCCGGTACTACGTTCCTATCATCTCGGACAGGAAGAGAGAGGCGGCAGATGCGGGTGACATGCACTGAACTTCTCGAGATACCGGTGCGTTCAGGACGCATATGAGGGTTGATATAAGGGCAGGAAAAAAGCAATTATTCAATTAAAGCTAGACTCTAGCGCTTTCTCGATGGTGCGTTCGTGCTCCTGTGCCGGGGTGTGGGCAGTGTGTTAGCCGTGGCGATGTCAAATGGCGAGAGAGCCATCAAAAGACCCAGGGTTGGAGCGAAGCTAACAAAGACGCGCCCATTTGGTTACCACATTGAATTTTTAATATATATATACCTATTGTCCTATTACACCATATGTGCGTTGGCTCTTGAGCTCATCTGAGCTCTGTCTGCTTTCCCTACCCTGGTGTCTACGGAGAGAGAATCTCAAGAACCTCAGTTTCCCTTTACATCGTCGAATCGATCTAACGGCTCGGAGTCCTTGCAATAATCTGAGCTCCATACCTGCAGACCACGAAACGTCTCTGGGCCCGAAGTGGGTTCTCTTCCAGTTATTCATTCCACGCATTTTACATGCCACAAGCCCATGTGTATAGTTCCTTGGCCGCATGTCCGACAGCTTCTAGTTTCGTTGTCGGGGCTTTTTTTTATCTTCTTCGCTTACCTACGTTAGGTAGGTAGGTAGGTCCCTAGGTAGGTACTTTGCAAGAAGTATCCACGCCACATCTGGTGGGGGTGGCGCATGCCCTAACTGGACTGTCCGTCGAGTGCGGGGCTCTTAGGTACAGATAGACTAAATAATAGAGACTACTAAGTAGCGCTATTAGGAATCGAACCTATCCTCTATTATATAACCTACTTAGCTCGACCTATATAACAAGTACGCGCCCCCGCGCGCTATTATAAATACTACCTACTCTAGTAACGTCGGAATATAAGATCTTATAAGGATAAGATACGCTCTACTACTATCGTATAGCCTATACTAATATATACGTACCACCTAAAAGGACCTTATTATAAAGGCGGTACTCTGGCTCGAACTAGTAGCTTCTGGGGTTTAAAGTACGTAGTACCTGCTGCTTGGACGAAGTTACTAAATAGATTAAATAATAGAAACTACTAAGTAGCGCTATTAGGAATCGAACCTGTCCTCTATTATATAACCTACTTAGCTGGTACCTACAAGGGAACGCCATGAGTATTACAGGTACCTACAGGTACCTAAATGTGCCTTATATTCAGCAACATAGAATTGTACACTCTCGGGCGACGTGATATTGAGGTATTGATGGTGGATGAAAACACAACTCTCCTCGGTTCACTCTGTCAGGCACATAGCTCGATGCGTTCGACCACCACCGGCCGTCATTATTCGTTGCCCCACTAACACGTAACAATACATTCACCCCGCCAGGAATTCCTATGAAACACTCACGCCGCCCATCCAGCAGCAGCATTGAACTCCGACGTCCCAGTCGCTCATCCCCTTTACCTGGTAACAAAGCATGGCGTTTCCTTCAGTCCTCTGGGCAAGGGATCAGCACACAGCATCACACGGAACCTGGAAATCAGCTGTGTTTCATTTGTCCAAGCTTGTCCACCCCCGTCGTATCCGCTAGGTCTGATCTGGGAATCCTATCTCCAAGTTTCTAGTCTGCGTCTTTGGATGAGATGCAGAAAGTCTCAGTTGCTGTATCGTCTAATTGACACAACTGGTTTCTATTCTGTATAAATATATTCCTGCCGGATAGGTGTAATTATCAATTGTTGTCTGGAATTAGAGATAGCTGACTTCTAATAATCAGTGCTGCGTTTATGGCGACAAATCTGGAAGTTCGTGTTCAAACTTTCTTGCGCCGTTCTATCGTAGAAATTTCGACGTATTTCTCGACCTTTATCCGATCATCCGTCTCTACCAAGATCTGACCTGCTCGCCTGGCGGACATCATAGCCATTGCTTGTTGCCGAAGTGCGATAGGAACGCGCCGCCGTCCTTTTCGGCGGTAGCATTTTCCCAAACCTTGCGGACGTCGCGAACGGCTTGTTCGGGGGTGGAGGGGCCGGCAAAGTCGGGTGCGTATTCTTTGAACTTGGAGCCGACCTCCCCCAAGGCTTTCGCTTGGTGTGGGGTTACTACGGGCAGGGTTAGAATCTCAGGCGCAAACTCTCGGGGCGACGCGAGGTAGGTATCATACAGTTGCTATAGTGGCCTACTTCCACCATACCTGGGCACACGCTCAGGAACAAGACCCCGTCCTTCTTATACTGGGCGCTGAACTTGGCCGTCACCACGTTCATGGCCCCCTTGCTGATCGAGTACAGCGGCGACGTCGTGACGTCGTATCGGTTGATTAAATCCGTGTCGGCGTGGCCGCTCGATATGACGATGACCTTCTTAACGGTGCCCTTGAGGATGAGGGGCAAGAACAGGTTATACAGGTGAATATTCCCGATAACGTTGATATCTATGAGTTTCCGCAAGTCCTCAGATAATACCTCTGGGTTGTTTCCTCTGTAGTGGTTGTGTGCGTTGTTAGTCTCGTTCTCCGTGCTCGATCGTAGAGCCTGAAGCCCAATACGTACAAAACTCCCAGCGGGTCGTAGGAATCGAACTGCGAGACATAACCGGCGTTGGCGATGAGATAGTCGAGCGATCCGCCTGTGATTTTCGCCGTATCAGCTGCGGCTTGCTGGATGCATGGATTAGCTGTCTCTTGGTTTAGGTCGGGCCGCTGGATTCTCCCACCTTCAGGGCGTTGTAGTCGGTTATGTCGGCCTGTAAGATGTGGATGTTGGTCCGTCCAGCCAGTTCGGCCGCCACTCGCTTATCAGTGGTGGGCTTGTCCCGGACCAACCCAATGACAGTATTGTTTGGGTCGTTAGAGATCTCGCTAAGGAATGCGAACTATTCCTCAGACCGTCAGACTCAGCTCGTCCGCCCGGCTCGGCTACGTTATACTCACACCCAGACCTTTCGAAACACCCGTTATCACGTAGGACGGCATTGCGTCGGCGTAGCAAGTGTAGGTTTCGTCGTCGTCGGTAACGAGGTGGTGTGGTTGTATGTTACTCTCGAGGCACAGAGCGATGCTCGCAACCAACCGGCAATCCGTTGAACCGCTCTTTATTATATACCGGATCGAAGACAGGGAAAGATATTTCTGGACTTAGCCCAAGGGACTGACATAATATTGCAATTACCAATCCGGCTCTATTATTCAGCATAGCGGCTACACACTTGCCTAATATATAGTCTGAAGTCGTTCTTGCATTCTACGTTGGCGGACCCACCGCGCGGAGTGGCTGCCGCCTCTTACCGATACCATCGTCGCTTTGTACCTTCCGCGCAGGTCGTGGCTGTAGGGTCTTCTGACGTCACTGCTTTCCTAAAGCGCCGCCGTGTGTCCAGCGTGCATGAGAAGCCCGCCAATCATAGCCTGCACTGCCAGTCCGGCGGTCCGTGATTGGCCGATCGACTAAGATGCGCTAGTCGTTAGCGGCATGATACGTCCCCGCCACTGTTAGGAGATGAATCATCACCTAAAATCCCGAGATCTGTCCCGCGTCCATTGAGTGACAATACAAGGTACCTATACACCTATGGTCAGCTCTTTTGCATGCAAGCCTCTCGGTTTCTTATGATACTGGCAATCCATCCTCCTCCCGAGCCAGCCTTTGCTGATAACGAGGGCGTGTTGGCGATGCGAGTCGTATAGAGGCCCAGTGGTCCGATACGGGGCGTTTCGCCAGCCACATGCCAAGGGCCTGCGGCCTGCGGTAATATTATCCTTCTTCTAAGTATGCATACGCAGACATGTCTTTGGTTACTGAGCCAATTCCTATGAACCCGTCGTGTGCGTAGCTGTGCCCTTCCTCCTCGCAGGTGGGCTCTCCCAGCCACAGCATTATGATAGAAACTCCATTTGCGAAGCGGTTCTTATCTCACAAACCACATCTGGTATTGTCTTTTTGACAGGGGGTCGTCACCTGCACCTTCATTTCCATGTAGGCGTATCGCTGTAAGTATTACGATGTCTGCACGTGTCTGGCTGTGACTGCACCTTACACGCGGTACTCCCAGCTCTAGATGAAACGATGACAAGAATATAGAAGAAGCTGTCTGACATCCGGCTGAGCACGTCTGCCCTCGTGCTAAGAAGTCCCCCCGAGATGCATTGCGGCGGGGTCAGGCGAGAGACGAGGGATAAGTATTGAGTAATTACGATGATCCTTCCTTAGGACCTCAGGGCGGAATCGGCGCCGTAGACAGGAAGAGGCTGCCCCAGTAAGGAGGGAAGATTGGTGTAGCGAGGCGATTCGTTTGGTATGAATCTTTATATACCGTCCTGATTTAGTATGCGTGTGGAGGCGCCGTTTATCTCGACTGTCATTCTATTATTTCGCTGAATCTGAATAGGCCACACTCACCTGACATAGCACTCTTCGACAATGTCGACTACGTCCAATATCTTCGAGAGTCCATACTTGGGGGATCCCAAATTTACCGGCAAAAAACACTGCTTGCCCACCGATAACGGCAGTGATGCAGGCCATATCAGGGGAGCATCTTCCTTCGCCGAGGTGAGACTCGGCGACAGCTCGAGTCAAAACACGAAGGGAGAGGAAGAAAGCGCGGCAGCCGCGAGGGAGGTCCATGGTATGAAGGTTAGCAACGTCTGACGGCCACAGCGGTAAAGGGCGGCGGTGAGCTGATCGACATCACGTTACAGTGGTTCTTTGCTTATACCTCCCTGATCTCCACCGTCCTGTTCTACGCACTCGACGGCACGATTGTAGGTGCCCCACGTGGCTGATCAACGGTTTGAGCGCTTCTCACCCGACCAAGGTTGCAGATATCCAACCCTCCATCATAGACACGTTTGGAGAGACGGAAAACCTGCCGTGGATCGGCGTTGCCCTGTTCTTGGGCGCCCTGCTTGTCCTCCCTCTGTAAGCTCCGTCCGCTACCCCTGCTTTCCTCGTCTCGTCTCCGGTAACAACGGGTGCGTACCTGTTGTTGCTAACAGCGGAAAGGCGTACGGTATTTTTAACGTGAAATGGCTGTTCCTCTCCTGCGTGATTGTATTCGAGCTCGGCAGTGTCATCTGCGGCGCCGCGCCCAACATGGGTGCTTTCATTATCGGGCGTGTCATTCAAGGTGCCGGTTCGTGCGGCTGCTACTGTGGGGCCCTGACTTACATTTCCATGACGACCACCAAGCGTGAGCGCCCTCTCTACCTCTCCGGCGTGGTCGCGACATGGGCTGTCGGGAGCGTCGTTGGCCCTGTCATCGGCGGGGCCTTTGCGCAGAGCAGCGCGACTTGGCGGTGGGCGTTTTATATCAACTTAGTCGTCGCCGCCGTTACCGCACCCGGCTTGCTCTTCTGTCTCCCCAATTTGAACCCCGTGGAGATGCCGTTCTTGCAGAAGTTCCTCATGCTAGATTGGCTAGGCACTGTTATCTTTCTAGGCGGGTCAGTCTGCTTGACCATGGCTCTGACCTTTGGCGGCACCGTCTTCGCGTTCGACAGCGGGCCCGAAATTACGCTCTGGACATTAACGGGCGTGCTGCTAATCGTCTTTATCGCGATCTCCGTTTATCACCCGACAATGACACTGGGGAACAGGTTATATCCTATCCACTTAATGAAGCAGATGGAGCTCAATCTCTTGCAATTAGCCCTATTTACGGCAGCGGGGGTGTGACAAGGGGCTGTACTTAGAATAGGTTTAATTCAACTAATAATTCTATAGGGGGTCTCTTAGGTCCTTATCCTTCCTTGGTTTCCTAGTCCCCCTCGCGTCCTAATATATTTCCCGAAGTACCTCCGTACCTTAGTACCTTAGTACCTTAATACCGAAGCTATCCGTGGCTTATCTAGGACTTTCCTTAGTAGGTCGCCGAAGAGGCGACTTTAATACCCGATATTATCCTCCTAACCGTTATAGCCTAATTATTGGTACAAGGTTTCATCCCCGTATAATACTATCTCTCCTCTTCGGAGGAGTTCGTCTTTAAGCGTAGTACCTAGGTTCGATAGTTAGTAGGTTTATTAAGGTTTTATTAATAAAATAACTTAACGGCTTCTTTTACCTTTTCGGTAGTAAAGTACTCCTACGGTTCCTAAGTTTAGTAGCGCTTAACCGGTTAGCCTTCTTACTTAACTAGGTACCTAACGACTTCTCCGGTTCTAGCGGAATCTAGTACCTTATTTACCTCGTAGTCTTTTGCCTTAATCGGGGCTACCTCCCGTAAGACCTAGTTAGGGTTAGGTAATTCTTAATTACTAGCGCGGTAGGATTCGATAAAGGATACGTAGAAAGTATTATAAATACGCTAGCCTTTCGGGAGTACTAGAGTTACGGCGGTAAAGGAAACGATCTTTTAAATCTTAAAGGAACCGAGTATCTTCTTATCTATCTTCTTTATAAGGCGCTTAGTTTTAATATTACGGGCGTTTAATATAATAAATTATCCGACTTCTAAAAGAGGTTCCTCTTTCCGGTATTTATTTACCTATCCTTTTATCCGCTACCGTACTTTTTCTAAATATTACTTAGCTTCGTTATATACCTTAGTTATTTAATAAATATAAAGGTTACTTCCTAGATTCTTAAGGGTACCTAATAAGGGATTATATGCTACTAGGTATTATCCGTAGTTAGCGTAAAAGGATAATATATTAGTAGCTATCGAAGTAATATTATTATAGGTAAATTCGGTAGTAAGAAGTAGGCTTTCCTAGTCGCTTATTTCGTAATTTACGAAGGCGCGTAGGTATACTTCTAGGATTTAATTAAGTCTTTCCGTCTACTTATTTATTTAAGGATAAAAGGCGGTACTTATTCTAGGCTTAATTCCTAGGAGCTTTAGAATATCCTTCTATATATAGGAAATAAACCGCGAGTCTCGGTCGGAAATAATATTTAAAGGGATCCTATATAACCGCTAGTAATTACGGATAAAAATAAGTATTAAGTCCTCGGCTTTTTTACCGTCCTTTTTTAGCGGAATAAAGTACGTTATCTTAATAAAGGAATCTATAATAACCTATATAGAATCGCAGCCGTTAAACATTAATAAGTCCGTAATAAAGTCTATCGCGATTATCTATTATAATCGATAATATAGTTCCATAAACTATAATAATCCGAACGGGATATATCGTAGTACCTTATTTTATTAATACTCGCGATATCCCCTAACGAATTCCTTAATTATTACTTCTAGGTTAAGCTACTAAAAGTTTCGAGTAATAAGTTCTATAATTTTATTTATACCTATATATTCCGTTACTTTAGTATCGTATTCCGATTTAATTACTTCCTATTATAAGTCCTTAGGTATCTAAAAGCGATTTCGTCGGTAGAAAAGGCCTTCCTAGAGCTTTATCTCCCTACCGAATGATTTAACTAGCTAGGCCTAGTATTCCGGGTCCTATACGGCTATCGTTTTAACCTATTTAACGAACTTTAGGGTCTAAGTAGGTATTAAAATACTACTTAATCGTACGCTAGAAAGTACTACCGTAGGTAAGCCCGAATTTTTTAAAAAATACTTTTCCTATAGGACCGTCGTTATCGGCTAGTCCTCGGCTCTCCCTTTTTTAAGGCGATATTATAATAATTTAAATAAAATATCGGCCTTCTTATTTTACTTTCCTAGGCGGTAATATATCATAAAATAATACGAGAAGAGCTATTAAACCTAACAAGCCTATCGTCGATTTAATACCTTTACTATAGTAAAGTACGTTAGGTTCTAATAATCCGAATATACTTCTATTTAGTACTAGGCGCCTTCGAAATAATATCGCTACTTTTTAAATGCGTTAACGATTACTAATAATTCCTTATTATATATTTTATAATTTATTTCCGCTAGGGTAAGTCGTTTTAAGAAAAAGGCTACTAGTTTTAGTCTTCCTTTATCGTTTTTCTACGAGAGAACGGCTAAAATAACGAAATCCGAGGCGTCGGCTTTAACGATCGGGACTCGGTTAGGATCGAAATATATAAGTATCGAGGCCTTCGTAAAGGTTTCTTTTAATTCCTAAAAGGCCCTTTCCATTTCGATTTCCTATTTCCATAGCTTACGATCTTCCTTATTAGCGCTAATAATTAACCTAGCTATGCCCGAGAAGTTACGTATAAATTTACGGTAAAAGTTAGCGAACCTAATAAAGCTCTATAAGTTTTTAAATATAGCTAAGATACGCTAGTTAAGGATAGCTTCTACTTTATCTTTAGATATAATAATACCCCTAGGGCTTATATTATATCCTAAGAATTTAACTTCTTACGTTCGCTAGGTATATTTCTTTAGAGCTACCGCTAAATGGTTTTTTATAAGCCGTTTTAGGACTTCTTTAATTAGTTTATTATATTCTTCTAGCGTATCGGTATAAATTAAGACGTTATTTAAGTACGCGATAACCCCGGCGTTTAGGAGGTCGCGGAAGATATGGTTTATTATAACTTAGAAGATAGCGGAAGCGTTAATTAATCCCATAGGCATAACCGTATACTCGTATAACTTATAGCGTATTCTAAAGGTAGTTTTTCATTCGTCGCCCTCCTTAATCCGTACTATATAAAAGCTAGACTTTAAATTAATCTTAGTAAATTATCGTACCGTCTAAAATAAGTTCTATAATTCGTTAATTAAGGGAATTAGGTATCGGACGGATATTATAATTTTATTTAGCCCCCGGTAATCGGCTACCGGTTTTAGGGCGCCCGGGTCTTTCTTATTTATAAATATTATAGATACGCCGCAGGAGGCCTTAAATTTCCGGATTCTTCCCATGGTTATTATTTTATCGAGCTAAGGTTTTAAGGCGTCTAATTATCGTCCGCTTATAACGTATAGGGGTCCCTATGGTAGGGTAGTTCCCGGACGAAGCTCGATAACGTAGTCCTATGGTTACCGATTAAGGAACCGTTATTCCGCTTCCTTAGTTATAATAGGAACGAAGTCGCGAAATTATTCGGGTACTTATAATAAAGCGTCCTTTTCTCGCGTAGTTCCTATACGGATCGGCTAGGGGCGATAGTTCCGGCATTAAGGTAAGTCGAAATATAATCGTCCCTCCGTAAATAAACCCTAGGGAAGGTACTCCTTTATTTACTATTAAGGTAAAATAACGTCGACTTTTTCGTTTAATTTACTAACTTCTTAAACGACGGGGTAGATATATTCGTAGCTACGAAGCTTTATTTCGTTTATATATTAAAATTCTTTTAACGAGATCTTAAAGCCGTCGAATCCTATTAGTATTCTTAGCCGTAAGCGTTAATTAATAAGAAGGCGTAGCTACTTAACCTTAGCGGCGTTAATTAAAGGTACCTCGCTACCGGTATCTAGTAAGACCCGCAGGGATATTCTTTTCCTTAATACTTTATTTATATCGTATAAATAAGTCGTTTACCTAACTTTAGTTCGTTTAAGTTACGCTAAGGAACTCGTAGTTTCTTCGCTATAGGTATAGCCTCCGTTACTTCTAACGTTCCGGGCCGTTTTATAGCCGTAATTTTTACGTTATCTTTATCGCCCCTTTCTCCCGTTAACGCTTACGAGGGGGCATTTAAAAATCCCGTTCTTCTTCGGAATCGGATAGTTCTATAATACGGAAAAGAGTTTCCTTCTATCGTATAGCGGTATCGATCCTAACCCTTTTATTAGGTAGTAGTTCGGGCTCCTTCCTTCTTCTTTTTCCCGATAAGACTTTCTTAAGGGGCGCGGGTAAGTCCCGTCCTTCTAAGTCCTTTTTTACGAAGTAGGCTAGGGTTTAGTAATTATCCCTTCTATACCGCTAGTAGGCTTTCTTATCCTTCTTCCGCTAATCGATAGCGGCTTAGTTAATTCTAGCTAAAGCCTCCTTATTTCTTATTTATCGTAAGTCCTTAGCCGGTACGGGTTTCTTATTATCCTTACTTTTGCGTTCGTTTACCGGTTAACTTAAGCGGAAGCGAGTCTCTTTTACGGGTTACCTTTATTATTAATCCGCTTTCGTATACTCCTTCTACGAAGCGGACCTTCCTTTTCCCGAAATTCCTAGGTTAGCTATTATATTTTCATAGATTTAACCGGCTTCCTTAATTACTTTAAGGAAGGCTTCGTCGCTTTTAGGGATACTTCCTAGTCGTAAATAAACTAGCTTAATTATTTTATCGGGTAAGGTACGGGCGATATAATTCTAGAAGGTAGTTCCGGATTATTAAATAACGTCGTTAAAATCCATAAGTTCGGTAAGGTATTAAGAGATATCTCCTTAGTACTTAAGTTCCTATATTTTTTTAGAATTACGATATCGTTCGGCGGGGTCCTTAAATCGTTCTTAAAGGGCCTAAGAATACCCTACCTAAGTATCGACGATTATTAACCTTTCTACCTAGGCTAGTCGTTATTAATACTAGAGCTAGGCCTTTTCGGTAAGTATCGATCCTACCTAATTAATCTTTTAAATATCCCGAGTAAAACTTTCCTTATAAGTCTCGAGGTAAGACTTAACCTTAATTTATTATAATCGGAACTTAGCTAGGTCCTTACCGTTATAAGCCGTAGGCTTAATAAGGTATACTAGGTTAGTTATTACCGTAATACTTCGTCGATTATTCATAGCTTTAGTTTAGGCCCGAACTATACGTTCTTCGGCCGGGTCGAGAGGCTCCTAAGGTTCTTTAGGGGCGCCGGGTAAGCGTCGCGGCCTCTACGGATCCTTAGATTCCGAGCTATCCGAATCATCGGAATCCCTTAGGTCCCTTAAGGCATTCCGCGGGATTTTTAACGGTTACGGTAGTCCTTACCCGGCTCCTCTTAATATAAAGGCTCTTACGGTAGTATCCTAAAAACGGGCCCGCGCGCGTATAGCGGTACGTTTAACCGCGGTATCCTATAGTACGCCGTTAAAAATAATTTCCCTTATTCTAACCTCGCTATTAATATATCTCCCGGTCGACGCTATTATAATACGGATAGCCGGCGCGGGAATCGGTATCCTTACCTTCTAGCTAGCTCCGGCGATAATAAATTCGATATTCGTCGGCTTATTACTTAATCGTCGTTATTAATATTCCTTAATTAAATTAACCGCGTAAGCCTTAAGGTCGTCTTTAATTAGCTAGGTTTTTTCTTCCATAGCTCCGGGAATAAGGTATTCCTTACTAAGGATTTCGCTAATCTATCCATCCTTCTACGTAGCCTAGGAGCTAACGTCCGTTACTAACTTATTATATTCCTCGCGTAGCTAAGTTAAAGCTCGTTAGTTCTAGAGTACGGCGTTTTAAAGTTAATTTATAGCGGCCGTTCGTACTTTATCTTATCTAGTAAACTTAGCTACGGTTTCCCATACGTTTTAAGCGAAATAGGTGCTTTATTCTACGACCTACTTCTAGAACTTATAGATCTATATCTTCGTAGTTCGGATACCGGTAGCTTATATAGCCGTAGCGGTTTAATAAAGCTATCGTAATTATTCGTATTATTCCTTTAGAATCGTATTCTACCGATGTCCTACGTCGACTTAATTAGCTAATATTACCAGGCTTTAGTAAGCCTATCTTATTTACTCATATAAATCTACGATCTACTATAAAGGATCTCGTATAACTACTCCTAAGTTCGCGATTTCCGGAGCATTAGCTATAACTACTTCGTATTCTTAGGGTTAGTATACCACGAGGGATTTATCGGTCGGTTTTAGGGTTAGTTCCGGCTAAGGCGCCGGGGTAGTTCGTTCGGCGTCTTTTACTTTTAATTCTATCATAACGGCTTTTAGTTTATTAATTATAGCTACTATCTAAGCTACCTCCGCCATAGAGATCGATACTAGCCCCGAGGCAGCCGGTCGCGGAAATAGGAACGCTTACGGCTCTGGTTCTTTAGTAAAGGGTCGAGGTTAATCTAGTAGTAGTACCGGGATAGCATCTTCGTACGATACCGGCTTAGGCGTAGGCTTTCCTTATTATTAACTTATAATAAAGTTATAAGGGTAAGAATAATATAGAATTATTTATAACAAGGAGCTATACTTAAAATAGGTTTAATTTAATTAATAATTCTATAAGGGGTTTCTTAGGTCCTTATCCTTCCTTAGTTTCCTAATCCCCCTCGCGTCCTAATATATTTCCCGAAGTACTTCCGTACCTTAGTACCTTAGTACCTTAATACCGAAGCCATCCGTAGCTTATTTAGGACTTTCCTTAGTAGGTCGCCGAAGAAGCGACTTTAATGCCCGATGTTATCCTCCTAACCGTTATGGCCTAATTATTGGTGCAGGGTTTCATCCCCGTGTGACAGGGGGCCATAATAACGACCCTCTACTACACTCCCTTGCTATTCCAATTTACAAGAGATAACGGCCCTCTAATGGCCGGTGTGCGCTTGTTACCGTTTCTCGCTGCCATTATATGTATGTCAGTTCTAAACGGAGTCTTAATGCCGAAGCTAGGTCCATACATGCCGTGGCATGTCTTTGGCACCGCAACAATGGTAACCGGCTCTGCGCTTATGCGTAAGTGGCGTATCTAACCCCCAATATCTAGATGGTTAACTAACCACACAAGTCACCATAAACTTATCGACGCCGGAATCCCACATCTACGGACTCACTGCACTTATCGGTATTGGATGTAGATCGTATTTCACTGCCGGCATTACCGTCGTCCAGACCCTCGTCCCGGTTTCTAAGCTAAGTAACACGGTGGGCTTCATGGCCACGGGTACGTGATACTAATTATAATAGCCTACTGGATAGCTAACAGGTTTTCACAGGCCAAATGATGGGCCAGATCGTGGTGCTCAGTATATCGGGCGCTTTATTCCAGAACATCGGTTCAGATCGCCTCCGCACCCTCCTACCAGACCTATCCTCAGATGAAATCTTGCAGTTGACGACGGGGGCGAACAGTCCTGTCTTCCAAGGTCTCGGTCTTGAGCTACAGCCGCAGGTTATAGAGGAAGTGACACTAGCGATCCGCAATGTGTTCGCGGTTATCTTGGCTACCACGGCACTGGGCTTGGTTGGGTCTGTCTTTATGAGTGTAAGAGCGATGTCCTCCTTGCCAGGCAGACGTTTACTAACCTTTTCATAGCGTCAAAAACTGTACCGATAACAGCATCTCGCCTCCGCATTTTAAAAATCTACGACGGGAATATTAATATTCGGGTCGAAAGGTATCACTATGGACTAGAGGCTGTAAGTTAGGTCACCGCTCCACGAGCCACCGCTTCGCGGACCACCTTTTTACAAATATGCTTATAAATAAACGATTTTTACCCGTAAAAAAGCGGGTTAATTTTTTTGGTTGATTAATTAATAATTTAACTAGTTTCATATAAATTTAGGGTTTTTTCCCTTATCTTGACAGATTTTTATATAATTTATTAACGAAGGTGCCGAAAAAGTTTGTAAATACCGTTTTAGAACCGATTTTTTACGGTTCACTAAATGCAAGACCTAAATAGTATATTCATCTGTATTCATATGTGCAGCCAAACATTTATGCGTATGTAACAGCTACCTAGGCATGTTGGGGCATCATATTTTGCATTTGCGTGGCGAGTGTGTTGGTAGCAGCAGTGCCCGCGTCTTGAATTGTAATCAATTGGTGTCTTGTCCCCAACAAGATCTAGGTAGGCCCTTCCTCTCTTAGTAGCCCATGGTTTATCTAATGGAAGAGACATATATATGGTATCTGGAAGTGATACCGTATCACGGCTGCACCGACGCGAAGGAGAAGGATACAATATTATGGTATGTCCAAAGTAGTAGCGTTAGACTGTGCACCTAACTCGCATATCTTGTGACCCCCAGGCATCTCCCAACCCAGTCCCACTGAACCTACGACCAACATTATGACTAGCCCAACAGCATCGTCACAAGTTCCACCACTCGTCTACCGAAGAGTATGCGAAATTCACTTCCATTCCTACTGATTCCAGTACCGCCGCTGTGAGAGGCAACTAATGGATGTGTTGAATTGCCACCACAAGACTTGTTAGGTAAGAAGGCATATTATCGACCGATATTGGCGTATGTTATACGAAACCCGCATTCATAATGACTGCAATGCACGCCAACGTACCCAACATGCAATAATAGCTCTTAATACGTCTAGTTGCCGACGAGCGGCTAACAGGGAATGCTTGCTATCCGCTACCTGGCTACCTACCTAGGGCGGACGGTAAGTTTGTTTGCGCCTGATTGCACCTACTCGCCCGCTGATGATGCGGCACAGACACCAGTTGCTAGCTAGTATCATCTTCTCAGTATACACATACTGTACACAGGAAGGTCCTATCTAGGAGTCAACTTCGATATTACTCGATAGAATCTCATAGCAGGTAAGAGATATATTAGAGAAATAATAATTACCTCTCCAACAAGTTATCTTAGTGGCCCCATACAGGCTTCAAGTAGAAACACTAGCTAATACCTCTTTCTAGCGCTTCCGCCTGGCTCTGCTACTTTCGCTTGCCTGAATTGTAATGTCTTCGTACGCCAATTCCTTCTCAAGGCTGTCACTGCTCTTCCTATTGTCGGCCATGGTTGATCTGTTCAGGTTGATGGCCCAGGGAAGAAGTTGGTTAAATGGGGGTCGCCAAAACGGACTGGGCTTGCGGCTCTGACCTAGGTATAACTTTGGATAAAATGAGCCGGATGATGAATACGACAGGCCCCGGTAATTTCTGGAAGCAAAGGCTGTATCTTAATGTTGTAATGACATGATATAGAGTGAACAGAACTAATACAGGCTCAGCCCGGTATTAGGTTCTTGCGATGCAGCCGACGGCCGTGGAGTTTTAAGTCCGCCGTTTGTCTCGAAAGCTGGCATGAAAGGTAGAAAATCTGAGCTCGTTTATACATCATTCGGTTACCTTGGGGCCTGAGGACTTTCCCTTGCCTTTTCTCTAGGCCTATTATAAAGAACTACAGACCTCGGCAACCTCCTTGGATAAGCTGGTCGCATCGTCCCGGCTGCTTGGAAATGGAAAAACAGTTCCTGTAACTGTGTGATCGTCCTATATCAGCACGTCAGGAGACATCTGTTGGTCGTAGGCATTTCGTTTGGGGGGGGAGAAATTGCGAGCCTTTGAGTGCTGTTGGTTGGGTTCCGCCGCTGTCGTCGTCGTTGGTTATCTCGTGCTATTTTCAGACTGACCTTATGCAACGGCGGTTGGCTACGGCACAGTCGCCCCACTTGGGCGCGACAGACTCCCATCAGATCGAGTACGCGTCAGAGCCATCGTAAATGAAATCAAAAAGGGAAAATCTTCATCGAACAATTGGACACAATTCAGCTTACCACTTGCAAACTGTTATTTTTCCTAATCGCAGTCCTACTCTCTTTCTATATCACTCTCTTCGTTTTCGAGTCGCCGTCTCTGTGGCAACGTATCTCATAATGACAATGTACGAGAGCCAAGAAGAACTCGATAACCTTGTCTGGGACAAGAATGACGAGGACTCCGATAAGGCACAGAAAGAAATGCGACTCAAAACCACCTGTCGCAAAGTGGAAGAACTAGTGGAGGAAAAATTTGGGAAATCTGCAACCTTGATATCGCCTTTGATCTTCGGTGGCTTCAACATCCTCTACAGGATACGCCTCGAAGGGACGTCTCCAGATATCATGGTTCGACTACCTTGCCCGAGCCTTGTTCAGTTTCCAGATGAGAAAACTATCCATGAGGCAGCCACAGCAGCTTTTATTGCGAAACAGACACGGCTGCCTATCCCCCGACACCTTTTCTATGGCGAGGACTCACCAGTCGGCCCTTTCGTGATCATGGAACGCGTTGAGAATTGCGGGAGCGTTTCAGCGAGGCTGACCCGACCCAGCGAGGACTCTTCAGCGCCTCACGTTCTGGATCCCAACGTTTCCGAGTCCACGCTAGAGGCTATCTGGGGCAAGATAGCACACTGTCTGCTGCAGCTTTGCCGGATAACCTTCCCAAGGATTGGGTCTTTGGTCGAGGCCAATGACGGCACCTGTGAGGTGGCTAGTAGGCCGATAACCCATAACATGACCGACATGGTTCGACTCGCGAATATTCCTCTCAGAGTTCTCCCACCACGGGGGAAGACGTATCGGACTGCAGACGAATGGTATACAGCATTGGCAGATATGCATATCGCACAACTCATCTTCCAACATAATGACCTAGTCACTTCCGAGGACGATTGCCGAAACAAGTTCGTGGCACGCCAAATCTTCCGCAGATTGGCGAGACAAGGTCGGCTCTCTATTTTCGGATTCGCCGAGGACAACTGGTCCGCCCAGTCATCCAAGATTCCAGCTTCCACGCTCTCCCCTGCCCCTTCCGTCTCTGACGCTTTCAGACTCTGGGGCGACGATTTTCGAGCAGGAAACATACTCCTCGCCGACTCTGATGAGATCGCTGCCCTTATAGACTGGGAATATACATATGTTGGGCCTACGCAGTTTATCCTTGACCCTCCATGGTGGCTTCTTATCGAGACGGCTGAGATGTGGTCCTCCGGCATCGACGAATGGAGAGAAACATACGACGTGCGCTTGAAGACGTGGCTCTCTGCTATGGAAAAAGCAGAAGCAGAAATGACAGAGCCGAATCTTCTACCGGCACATTTGTCCACGTATATGCGAGAAAGCTGGAAAACGGGGAGATTTTTCCTCAGCTATGCGGCCAGGAAAAGTTGGGCGTTTGACACTATGTACTGGAAATTTCTGGACGAGAGATTTTTTGGCGATCGCGAAAGTGGCATTCTTAAGAATGATCTGTGGAAGACGAGAGTTAACCTATTGAGTGAGGAAGAGAGAGCAGCAATGGAGCCGTTTGTGGGGAGAAAGATGACCGAGTCCAAGGAAAGGCGCATTGTCAACTGGGATCCGACCGAAGCCAGACAGCGGTTATCTGAACTCTTGTTTGATTGAGAATAGAGTTAGAATATTTCCCTCACAAAAAATCGGCATTTTCAATTTAAATACACGACAATGTGAAGCATAAATACCTACTTGTTTTAAACTAGATTTAATTTCTTCCCTGAGCCAGTATTAAAGAAGCTAGACCACCGCTCTGCGAGCCACCCCTTCGCGAGCTGGGTATTTTATATAGGTTTACAAGCAAACGATTTATCGCTGTAAAAACCTGGGAAAAAATTAGAAAACCCGAAATTTACTTATATAATCAATTAGCTTAATTAAATTAATATATAAACTTTTTGAATTCTTAAGTTATTAATATAAGAAGTTATATACGATTTTGATGGTTGGTCAGCGATTAAGGAGAGTCACCCAAGTACTATGTATCTATTACGTGCTCCCTATAGGCATATAAGGACTAACCTAATCCTCTACCTATAGTAGAAGATAGCTTCTAAATTAGATATATTAATATAGCTAGTCTTACCCCCTATCGTTTCTTACTATTATTATTATTTACTTTACTTTACGTACGTACCTACTAATACTAATTAATATTATTAGATAATTAGTAATATAGATTAGTAAGGTTAGAAGAATTATTACTACTTTAATCGGGAGAATTACTATTACCGTAGTAATATAAGCGATATTAGTAAAAGAAGAATCTTCTATTACCTTTTATTACTACCTATCTCTTTTTAGTACTTTCTACGGGTAACGATTTTTATAACTACCCTTTTCCCTACGACTACGTTAAGAAACGCTATCCTACCTCTTTCTTTATTATATCCTATAACTATAACGAGGCTATCTTGCCTTCCTACTAAAGATTAATAACCCCTATCTTCCCTCGATTCCTACCGTTAAATTCCATTAAATATATCGGATTTAAAGGTACCGGAGACCTTAGCCTAAGGAGCTAGTAGATAACGAATAAAGCTAGGACCTAGCGAACCTAAAAACCCTACCCCCGTACCTATTTTCGGACGTGAACCGCTAAAAGGACCCCTAGGAAGCTAGAACCTAAGGGACGTAGAAGATTTCCGCGAGTTTCTTAAACTTATTATAGGACGACTAACCGCGATAATAGTATAGTTCGATCCGTAAGTAATTAAATGGTAATAGTTCGTACCGGAAACTATTAACCTACGATAAAAGGTAATATAGGTATTAATAATAATAGCGGACTTTAAGGTAGCGAATACTAGTACCCTTAACGTTCGTACTATAAATAAAGCCCTATATAATTATTAGGAACGATTTCGAGGCTATAGGGAAGGGAAGTTCGAATTAATACCCGCTACCTTCCGTTCGTTCCTACGTAATACCTTAATAAAATAAGGCATCTACGTAGGAAGAAGTAATACGAAATATTCCCGAAAATTCGCGGAACTAACACGAGCGGGAAGCCTTCCGACCTAGAATTACTAAGAACTCTAAACGGCTAAAGCTAAGTAGCTTAATACGCTAGCATAGAAAACGCTAACGATAGAGACTAACTAAGGAACGGTATATCCCGAATTAATAGAATTAATACGAGGGAGACTAACTTCCTTATAATTTAAAGAGGTAGCGGCCGAATTATTAATATAATAAATCCTTACTCCGTTTCGAAAGGTTATATACGGAAGTAACCCTCCTTTTATTCCGACTAATCCGTAGTTCGAAACCCCGCCTAGGTATAGTTTTCTTTACCTTAGATTCCTTAACGAGCTAACGCCGAGACTATAATAAATAAGGTTAACTAGGAGCTAATAAAGGTCGCTACCTAATCCTTTATTAGTACCTTAGCTTAATTAACCGGTTCTCCTTTCTCGAAATAACGTCCCGCTAACGCCTAATAATTCCCCCGGTCTACGTTAGAACGTACCTCGTTAATAGGTACCTCCGCCGCAGGCGCTAAAGGCGTTTTTATTTTTCTAACCTTTTCCGGCTCTTTAATTACTACCCTTCGCTTCTCCTCCCTCTTAGCTTTACTTATATCCGTATTTATTTCTAGGGTATCCGCTATACGGATATCCGCCGTATCCGCCGATAAGCTTTTAATAAGGCTACGGACCGTATAGGCCGTATAATCCATATAACCTATAGATATTATTATTTCCCCTTTAGCTATACCTATCGATAAAAGGAAACGATCGAGCGAGAGAGAGGACGTAATTCCCCCGGGGAAACTAATATGTTACCCCGGAACTAGGACATAACTAATATCCTAAAAGCTAACTACTAATAAATTACTTAAACGAAGGAATCCCCGGAGGACGCGGTTCCTCCTTACCGATAGGATAATCGCGTACGCCGGGAACTAAACCGCCGCCGCCGCTTATTCTAGGGCCTAATCCTCCCCGATAATTATCCATATCCGTCGGGAACTAAAAGTAGTAGACCTATTACGATATATTACTTACGAGGGTACCGAACGAGCTATGCCCTCCGATTATCGTAGGGTACTTTAAGAAAGCGTAAAATAAGGAAAATAATTATACGGGAGAAGTATACGATATCCTAGAGGATAAGTTCCGATTCTTCCTAGACGTTTATTATATTACTAGGATCCGGTAAATATAATTCCATATCGTTTTTTCGATAATCTTATTAGGAAGGGTAGCTATCTACTTCCTATATAGCGTCCTTAGATACTAATATTTCGTTAATATATACTTCGTAATAAAACGTTACTTTAATACGGAATAGAATAAGGTTTAGTATTACTACGATTAAACGGTTATTACCTTTTATAATATAAAGGCCGAGAAAGGTAACGAGAGTAAATCGGACCTAGAGGTATTCCAAGTAATACTAGATAAGCTAGCCTTATATTAAAGGGTACTTAGTCCCGACTTTAAGGGGAAATAATAATTAATCGCCGCCGTTTATCGAGCCTACCGTAACGTTTCCTAATTATAGTATACTCTTTTCGAACCTTTTATACGTTTCGAAGATATAGCTAGTAAGCTCCGTACTTCGATTCATACCTATGAAAATCTTAAGGGAATACGCTAATTTATTATGGATAAGGATAGCGATAACGGCGAGGGAAACGATTAATACTACGTCGATCGTAAATACTACCGTAACGATAAAGGAGGTAAATATTACGATAATAAGAAGGAAAGGGGCTACTTCGGATAGTAACGAACGTAGAAAAGAAGGTATTAGATATGTAAAAAGGAGGGATATTAATCTATTAAATACTCCGAGAAAAAGAGGAAGGAGGTAAAGGCGCGGTAGAAGGTTAATAAGGACAGGCCTAAGGGTAATTATGCGACGTTCCTAGCCGATTACGAAGAAATCGATAAATAAAAAAAAGGCTTAGGGATTAAATAAAACGACGAACCCGGTACCGATTAAACGTTAGATAGTAATAATAAGTAATATATAACTGCCGTTTACCTATCCGACTAGGTATTCCGATACCGCGTTACCTCGTACTCCCCGTAAGAGGCGACCGGTATCGGCGATACCGTTTTCGTCTTCGACCGATACTCTAAGGATATCTTTTAAGGCATCATATTAAATATAAATATAATAAGAGTATCTATCGCCGGTAAGGAATAATACCTTGCTCTCGCCTGGGAATACCCGGAATAATAACTCGAAATTAATAATACCCGGGCGGGAAAAGCGAATATCCGATTCGGAAACGGATTATTAATAGGCTTCTTAGGAGCCGTAACGGTCGATATCCCGTTCGGATACGTCGATTTCTACGTAATAAAAACAGATACCTTATTTCTCCTATCCCTTAAGGATATGGATCGCTTCGGTATTTACTTTAATAACGTTACTAACTAACTGGTTTCTAAAGATAGTACGATAGTTCTAGTTACGCGTAAATAAGGGTATCCCTAGCTTTAATTCGACGATAGGACCTATTTTACCGTAGCGTACCTTACGGAAATAGAACTACGGCGTATTTATACCCGCTTCGGCTATTCGTTAGTTAATAAGTTATATAACTTACTTAATAAGGCCGGCTACGACGTTAATATTAACGAGATTAAGGCTGTTAATAAGTTCTATTATTATTACTAAGTAAAGGGCGCGTTACCCTAGAGGTTTAGGTTTAGCCTAAATGATCTAGATATAGACTTTAACTACGAAGTAATTATCGATATTATATACCTCGACGGCTAATTAATATTCCACGCTATAAATATAACGACTAGGTTTTAAGTAGTAAGGTTTATAAGAAAGATTTCCGCTAGAAAGACCTAGGAAGTTCTTAAATAGTACTGGATTAATACCTATCTAAAACTACCGGACGTTATTACATACGATACCGGTATAAATTTCGATAGCATTAAATTTCGTAACGAGGTACGGTTAATGAAAGTTACCTATAAATAAGTACTAGTAGAAGCGTATTAATCTATCGGAAAGGTTAAGGAGTATTACGGCTTAATCCGTAGAGCATACGAAATTATTACATAAGAAACGGAAGGTTTATTTAAAGCATCCCGCCTATAGGTAACCGTTAAGGTAGTAAACGATATAGCCGGCCCGAACGGCTTTATACCTACCCTCCTCGTCTTCGGGGCATATCCTAGAATTAACATAGACTTACTACCTACGGCGTTATAAACGTAAAAAGCTTAAGCCGTTTAGAAGGTAATAATAGAGGTTAAGAGGCTTAAGGTATAGAGGTTTATCCGGGGTACCCTTAATATACGGAACGGACCGAATACCTTAAGAACCCTTCCAGGACTACTACCGTTAGGTAGCGAAGTCCTGGTTTTCCGCGAGAAGGAAGGGTAGAAGGAACCCCATAAGGTCATTACCGTTACGAATAAAGATATAATAGTTAAATCGATAAAGGGAACGTCTACCTTTAGGAGCTTTTACGTTAAACCATATACCCGACCTATAATTACGCTACCGAAGGAAATAATAATCGAAATACTATAACCTCGAATTAACTTTAATAAATATAAAATAATTCCAGGGGAGGAATTCGCCGTAACGTATACTAACGTAAAGGAAAAGAGCGACTATACTTTAGTATTAAAGCTACGGGTAACGGGAAGAATTACGATACCCGGTAAGTCATATAAGGCGTCCGATCTAAAGGAGCTTAA